TAATTATCAATATTGTATTTTTAATATATTTTTAATAATGTAATTTTAAAAAATCTAAAATTATAATATAACATTTTTTCGAGTAGCTCGCGAGCTTTTCAAGTCAAATATTAAGTAGCTCATTTTAGCTCGTTAAGAATTCGAGTCGAGTTCGAGCTCGAGTCGAGTTCATTCGATTCAAGCGTTAATCGAGCTTTAACTGGGTCGATCTCGTATCTCATAATCTGTCTCGTCTCATGTACAACCCTAGTGTGATTTGTTCTTCTATGGCTCAGCTGCATTGTTTCTTACCGGTGATTGCTAGGGAAAATAAATGGCAAGAATCTAATTATTGTTCAAATTTCCTGCCATCTCCGGTATTTGAATTCAGAACTTCTAGAGATAATAATCATTTCCTTAACCAATAACGTGCTATTTTATAAGTCACTTTCCATGAATTATTTTGATAATTAATGATACGTGTATCAATGGTGCTTAGTGACTGAACACCTCTACTTTACCCTAATAATAAAACCCCATTAGTATTAATGAACGGTCAGAACACTTAAGAGCGATTAACCCAGCTCTTAGCTTGATTGCAATACTGTTAAACAGCATCATCTCGGAGGGAAAGAGATTTACCAATAATGAGGAATACCATTGACTTATAACGTTAATATAATTATAATGATAATTAACGCATCATATGAAACGATCATCAACTATTTAAGAAATACGTATAGTTTACTTTACGACATCAAACACTAGTTCACGTACTTTTCAACCCCAGCAGTTCCACTGTCAAGCAGCTCACTGCTCTCAAGATAAATAAATAAACAAACAAAGAAGCTGCAATTATGGAGGAGAAAGGTAGATGTATGTCTAGCTTTATATATATATACACTGCGTGTCACCACTTCAAAAATAATTTCAACCACTAGTACAAATTTCAGGTTATTTTGGGAAGAAAATGTCTTAAACATTTTGAGGTTTTTTCTCTTAATAAATTTAATGTGATCATTTGACCAACGTTTTTCTATCGTTGACAGTTACGATGTTGACGTGACAATCCACGATACTACCATTACAGTACAGGATTAATAGATTCTATTAAGCGCGTTTCTTAACACACAACAATATTTCTTCTATATAAAAACATATATTTATATAATTTTGTGATGTAGATTTCATAAGACGTGTGAAACTTGTAAAATTAAAAAAGAAAAAAAAGAAAAAGCAATTACTATTAGAATAAATGGAATAATGAAACTTACACCACATAAATGTAAAATAAATATTAAAAAAGGACGGACGTTGATTTATTTGCCATTATAGTTATGTTCCCCTGTACCTCAACGGTAGGGTGTGAATCAATTTGTTCTCTAAAACTCATAAGCATAGCTTTCACATTGACGTTGCCTTTTTGTTCATATTATCTACCAAGACAATTGTAATTTCAAGCATGTCTTGTCGTTTAATTCGTTCTGGGCATAACTGTTACCTGCAAGAAAAGAGAATGTGTTCTTTATAATTTCCTTAATTCTCGTTTTTAAAAAGGATTTTCCCTCACGAGAATGTTTTTCTTATCCTTTTCTTAAATTGAGATTGAGAATTTCTTTTGGTGTCCTCGTGGTTTCAAAGCTTCGTCTTGATTAATTTAGATTGATCTACGTTGCACATCAGGCTTTGGTGGGTGAGTCTAGGGATGGGCATGGGTCGGGTTTGGGTTGAGTTTCGGCCAACCTGACCTGACCCGAAAATTTTACATCACCGACTCAAAAAATATATACCCCGAACCCGACCCAATTTTTTGAGATAAAATCTAAACCCAACCCGACCCGACCCTAAATAATAATAAAAATATTATTTTTATTAAAAAAATAGTGATTTAATTGAAAAAATAATATATAGATTGATATTATTATAATTATTCCTAAATATATAAGGTAAAATTATTTTTTTCGGGTAGGGTAGGGTCGGGTATTTTTCACCCTAAACTCTAATTCTTCCCGACCCGAACATCACCTTTAAAAAACCCAACCCGAACACAACTATTTTTAAAAAAAACCCGACCCGATCGGATTGAGTCAGGTCGAAAATCGTCGGGTTCGTGTCTCATGCCCATCCCTAGGTGAGTCTCACCTCAAGGATTTTCTGCATACACAAAGACTCGAACTCAAGACTTTACTTAAGTGATATCAAATTGCTTACAACTTGAACCAAGTCGGTAAAATTGAGAATTTTTTGTTTTGCCCTACTATGGATTCGTCTAAATTTAATATGAGATTTATTTAGATAAATCGATAATTAAAAAATGAGATTGTAAAATAATACTGATATTTGTGGAAAAAAATTAAACGAGAAAAAAGCATAAACAGATGAAAATTTCATTACGTTAGTCGTCTAAATATAATTTTTTTCCAATTTACTCTTGCATAAATTATGCATTTAGTACCTAAACTATTAGTTTTAACCTATTTTAGTACTTAAACTTTTAATTGTATTAAAATCATATCTAACATTTTATTTTTGTTTCATTTTAGTACCTCACTGTTAAAAACTTAACATGTTTACTACCTAAACTATTATTTTTGGCCCGTTTTAATACCTAAACTTTCAATTTTTTCAAAACATAATGTTAAATTTTGAATGGAGAAACTAAAATGAAATAAAAGCTAAACTTTAGGAATGGTTTTGAAAAATTGAAAGTTTAGGTATTAAAACATATGAAAATAAACCATTTAAGTAGCGAACATGTAATTTACCCTTTAACTTTTTACCAAACAAGCCGAACAATAAATTTTTGGTATAATACTAAAATTAACCCTCAACATTTACCAAAATGATTATTTTGGTCCCTTTTCTATTTTTAGAAGTATTTTAACTTCCAACGTTTCATTTCAGAGCAAAAATGCTCTTAACATTTAACAACATAATCACTTTGACCGTTATTTTTTTCCTAGAACATTTTAACCCTTAACGTTTTATTTTAGGTTAAAAAGGTCTCTATTTTGGAGCGTTGATTGTGTGTTAATTAATAATTTACATCTATAGATAAGACTTTTTGCCCCCAAAGTGAAACGCCAGTGGTCAGAATGCTCTGAAAATAAAAATTAAAGACCAAAATGATCTTTTTGATCAATTCTGGAGGCTATTTTTATCATTATGTCTAAATTTTCATGATGGGTGTATAACACAATTTGAGTTATAAACTCTAATACTTGTTTGGGGTTTTGTTTTAATAATCTCAAAACACAACCAGATTTTAACAAAAGAATTCATTTTTGGGATTAATTGGGAGTTAATCTTTTTAAACCCTAAAACCACTTTATAACCTTTCTGAATTAAAATCATTGCTTCCTCCATTGAACCACCTTTTTAGACTTCTTTTTTTCTGCAAATTTGAACTTTAACTTTGGAGATTCAACAGCATATTGGCCAATGGAAATGTATTTCCATACGTAAATCAATAGTATAATGATATAAAGCACGTGCACAGTAGTAATCAAGTAATTAGTTGCTTCGATGGCTAATTTAAAGAACCAATGTTATATTTAGAACGCTAATGCTTCTTTAATCTACTTACACTTTTTTTTTGTTACCCTTCTGGTTCCGAGATTTTGCCATGACTAATCTTGATCGATCCACGTCGCACACCTTATTTTGGTGGGAGAGTCTCACAGCAGTGATTTCTGCATACACAATGCTCAAACTTGAGACATTACTTAAGCAAAATCAAGCTGCTTACCACTTGAACCAACCCCTGTTGATATTTACTTACACTTTTTAAAATTAAGTTAATTTTTTAAATCTTTTAATATCTAATGAGAAATTTTAAAAATGCAAAGGAAGATTTAACTAAAAAGACTCAAAGCGAATATTAGTTTTCCAAAATTTTAAAAGAACATAGCACTGTGATACACTACCATCCACCTTTGATAGCTTATCTATACCTAATATATGTGTTGTATATGATTTTTGTTTTCCTTTTGTTACTATTATGTTTATGGTGCCATTAGGAAAACTTGAAATTGTTATAATTCATATTATATATATTTAAATATAAGTTAAAGGGTCTCTTTTGTCCCTGTAGTAAACCTAATTTATCAATTTTGTCACTATTTTTTCATCATTTTAGCCCTCGAAGTTGTTTAGAATCGTAGACCTCAAAATACATTTTGACTAACGTATCGTTAGTCTTCTGTGTTTATCAACACCAGCAGTTTCCAGATTAACCAATATTATTGAAGCGGCTTGGTGATGACGTGACATGTATTAAAAAATAAATAATAAAATATTTAAAATATTTACTAAATATAGCTGTTAGAAAAAATCTCTAAAAATTTGACCTAATCTCTTAATCTCTCTAAAATAATAATAAGTTTTGAAAATTTGTTCTAATCATTGTGTTTAATAAATATTTTAACTTAATCCCTTAATCCATATATGTAGAAGACTCACAGTTATGTTAGTCAAAATGGTCAAAACACTTCAAAGGATAGGATGAATACCCTCAACAAATTCGAGGGCTAAACTGATGGCAAAAAAATAATAAGGACGAAATTGATATTTTATAATATATATTTTTATGATTGGACTTTATTTTTTTAATCACATTGTGGAAATATAAACCTATAATTGTCTTCTTTGATGATGACATCTTTACATGCATGGTGGAACTACACAAGGGTAGGAAGGGTCGTGCCTCGAATATTTTAATTTAATAGAAATTTAGATTCTCGAAATTTTAAATATTAAATAAATTAGATCTTATTCATCAAACATTAAATTTATTATATTTTAAAGATATTTATTGATATTAAGATTGGAATAGAAATATACTTGCACAAAACACAACTAGCTAGCTTGAAGATTAGCACGTACGTGAAAGCTAATATTTAACAGTAAACCAACTTCGATTGATGAACATCAAAACACGTAATGTCATTTCGACATACATGGACATAACGTAATTAAACACAACGATATCGTACTTTTTTTTGTCCATTTCCTTGGAATCGTCATATGAATAATGATTCTGCAAAAGAATCCAACTGCACTTGATCTTCATTTGTCTTAAGAAGTTGCAGATACTCTTCGTAAAGCTTGTCCAGAGAATTGGTTTCATCTTCGGTACCAGGTACTTGATGATGATGATGACGATGATGAGATTGACACTCGAAACCTGAGCCGTTGATAAGATCACGATCATCGTTGTTATAATAACCAGAAAAACCCTGTCCCGGTTTCGTCATCATTGACATATCCGGTCCAGGGAGCTTCCAGTACCTCTCCTCCTCCTTGGCTGGAAGACACCGTGCTGAATGTGTTGGTACACTGAACCGAAGCCGTGACTCGAATGGGTTTGGGGAGATGGATTTTGTGTTGTTTTTCTGGCTCGGCTGGTTTTTTCGGTTTGCTGCTGCTGGAGGTGCTCTTCTTTCTCTTCCTCACCGGTTGAACCTCAACCACGACCGGGTCCGGTAGCTTCTTGTGGGTGTTGGGATCGGTCCCTTGGCTTAAAAGACGTTTGCTGAGATGGGTGTTCCAGTAATTCTTAATCTCGTTATCGGTTCGACCGGGGAGCCGTCCTGCGATGAGAGACCAGCGGTTTCCGAGAAGAGAGTGTAATCTGATGATGAGATCGTCCTCGTCTGGCGTTATGTTACCTCTCTAATATCTGGTTAGATAGTTCATCCATCTCAGCCTGCAACTCTTTCCACACCTAACAGCCCTGCAAATTCAACCCGATCATAAATCACTGAGTACTTGATTCGACTCAAACAAAACTCGTGAACATAAAAATTGGTACCTGCTTTCTTAGGGAGGGATCTCCAGTGACCTTCTCCGTGAGTTTGAATGTAGTTGACGAGCAATGTGTCTTCCGTGGGAGTCCATGGACCTCTATGCAACCCTACTTTAGAGCAACAAGGAGCTCTTCCCATCTCTCTCTATATTTTTTTTCTTCTTCTTCTTTGGTTTCGCTTACTGTTCAGACATTGAAACAGATGATAGAAACACAAAGAAAACCAGAAGAGGTGTGTTAGAGACGATGATGCTATAAGGAGCACTTTGGCCCTTTTAAAACCGTAGCACGCCAATATTTATATTACTCCCAAAATTTTCTCAATCTGTAATTAAATTTTAATGAAAAATAATAGTAAGATGACTATTTTATAATATTTAACAATTCGAAGACTTTAAAAAGTAAGTCTTATAATTAGAGAATCAGTTTATAACTTTTTAATAACATTTAATATATTATAAGAATTAATTAAACTTGCGGTGTATTAACAAATAACATATATTAATTAATAATTTGTCCTCTTACAAAAATATCCAACAAAGAATATATGAACATGCCGTATAAACAGAGGCGGCACGCGGCATTCCCCTCTCTTGATTTGGTAAAATTATTATTTTAGTCCATAAAAGTATACAACTTTTAGATGATATCATGGTGAAATTTCTCTATGCCCCACCTAGTTTATTAAAAGTGAGCTTTTGATACCGAAATTAAAAGGTTTCAAGTTAATAAAACGGTGAAATTTAGCATTATATCTCTTATAAGTTTTGAAATCCAATCTTCACTCTAACATTTTTCCGACTTCGTCGTTGCATGTTCATTCTAAATTAGGGTTTAGCACACAATTGATACTATGATTTATAGTGCGTTTCTTTGTTGGGTACCTCAACTATTAAAAGGTTTAAAATGATCCCCGACTATGAAGTGTTGAATTTGTTGAGTCCCTCGACAAGTAAAAATTATAAAATGGTTGCTCGACTATTCATATGTTTTAAATCCGTCCTTTTTGGTTAAAAAGTTGACTGCAATGTGAGTTGGACGTTAACATGTTGAATGAGATATGATAAAATTTGATCCCAAAATCTCAAAGGACTATCATATCCTAATCAACATGTTAACGTCTATTTCAGACGACCATCAATTTTTTAACGAAAAAATGATCAGTTTAGAACATATGAATAGTCGGGTGACCATTTTTTAATTTTTAACAACTGAGGGATTCAAGAAAGCAATGCCCTATAGTTAGGAGACTATTTTGTAACTTTCAATAGACTAAAGACTCAATAAAATAACAACTTACAGTCAAATGATCAGTTGTGTACGTTACCCTTTAAATTAATATCACACGTTTAAAAAATATTAAACGATTGCATTAACATATATAAATTATTTATATATGTCAAATGTGGGATGCATATTTGCACCGACCAAAATCAAAATTATAAAATTTTTAGGATCAATTGTAATTTAAAATGTTTTTAGAGGCAAGTTTTTAAACTCAACAACCTTTCTACCAGGCTATCTGCCCTTCTCAATCCTCAATTATCATGAACGTGGCAGTTTAATAATTAAAGGTATATTGTGCATTTAGTACTTCAACTATTAGTTTTGGTCTGTTTTAATACTTAAACTTTTAAATTCATATCTTAAGTTTAGTTTTATTTCATTTTAGTATATCGTTCAAAATTTAACATTAACTTTTGAAAAAAAAAAATTTAGATACTACAACGGACCAAAACTGATAGTTTATGTACTAAACGCGTGAAGTTTTAACGAAGAGGTACTAAAATGAAATAAAAATTAAATTAGATATGTTTTTGAAAAAATTAAAAGTTTAAATATTTAAACAGATCAAAACTGATAATTTAGATACTAAATACATAGTTTGTCCAATAATTAATTGTACATACCAAGCATGTTAACGTTACCAAGGCAGCTGGTTAATTTACAGCCGTCCGATCACATGGAAAGTTCGACTGTGCAACGTTAAATCTTTCACTTTTTCTCGGTTGTACTAAGCTGGTTTGCGAAAAATATCATTATTAAAGAGAATGATATTTTTTAAAATTATATTATTATGTTTAGTTTACGAAAAAAATTATTATCATGTAATAACGTATTATCATTGTAATATTTTTTTGATTAAAATGGTGAAAATGTTATTACCTTCGAATTCTTAGGTAATGAATAATTTCTATCACTTTAGATATAAATATTCCTAAAATAATAAAATTTTTATATGAATTATTCTCAATTTTTATTCTTCGTGTTTTCCTCAAAATGATAAACTTAATAATAATAATAATAAATAATAATAATATATAAAGAGTTCAATTTAGCAACATATTAATAAATTTAGGAAGTTAAAATTATTTTATATTTTTAATATTTAATAGATTAATTATTTTGTAATTTTATTAGTTGAAAATGTTAACTTTTAAGTTAAATTTATTAAAATTTTAATAAAATTGAGTAGTTAAAATTATTTTATATTTTTAATATTTAGTATATTAATCATTTTATAATTTTACAAGGTAAACATATTATTATTGTAAAAAAATATAATTACTTAAAATAATATTTAATTTTGAGTTATTAAAAAATAAATTTATACATGAAAAATAATATATGTATTCAATCGAGATCACAATATTATTTTTCATATTATATTATATTTTATATAAATAAATATGATACTTATCTAAATTATTTAAAAATATTAATTCGATATACTAATTATATTAATTATATATTAAATATATTTTTTCTTTAAACTTATAATGTAATAATTAAAAATATTTTTAAAAATTTTCATTCAAATATTTATAACTTAATATTAAAATTTTACAGTGTTTTTTCCATATGAAAACATAGGGGAGCTCTTAAACATGGGCCCAAATTGAAAGTAATAGAATCAGTCTCAAGTCCTTGAAAATCTTTAACCTCACTCTTATGTCAATAGGATAAAAATAAAAATGGACTCATAATTTTAATGGCTTTTTTTATAACCCACTCGTATCCGAACTGACTAATCTAGATTGATTATTACAGAGATAAAGACGAACTTTTCAACTCAATATATTTCATTAGTAATCGTTGAGATTCGAGCTCTTGACCTTATTTAGGGTATTCGAAGCCAGTTTAATGGTTCTATTTATTTTCTTGTCCAAAGCATATTTACATTATTGTATCTAAGTTTGCATTTTATTCTTACCAGAAGAAAAAGACATTGCATCCAACTAATGCTCGAACTAGTTCCAAGTTTGCGACTTGAATATGTATGTTTAGACCAACTTTCATTTTTTACAAAACCATATCTAAAGTTTAGTTTTTGTTTCATTTTAGTACCCCGTCGATAAAAACTTTAATTTTTATTTCATTTTAGCACCTCATTGAAAATTTGACATTAAGTTTTGAAAAGATTGAAAATTTTGTTACTAAATGAACCAAAACTAATAGTTTTAGGTACTAAATGCATTAAGTTTTTAACGACGGGTAGAATGAAATGAAAACTAAACATCAGGTATGATTTTGATAAAATAGAAAGTTTAGGTACTAAAATTTATCACAATTGATAGTTTAGATATTAAATTCGTAGTTTAGCCTTTTATTTATTATGAAAATATCACGTGAAACACAACCGGTATAAGATTAAACAGTAGCGGAGCAACTTGAATTGACGGTGGAGAAAGAAATGGGAATGACGTGTACAACACCTGGTACATTGGAATCAACAAAATTAAAAGAATATTTCCGTTTTGATCACTATTTATTAGGGTAAAGTGCATCCATTCGTTAGGAGGTATTGCTTTATTAATTTTATCGACGGTTAATAATTATAAAATAATAATTCGATTATAAAATATTATTTTGTTAAAAATTTTAATTATTAAAAATATAAAATAATCACTTAATATATTCATTATGTTTAAAACTCATCATTTTCATTAATAAATTGACAATTTTTTTAACCTGAACGTTAACATGATAACTGAGATATGATAGTCGCTTGAGATTCTAAGATCATATGTTATCATATCACAATTAACATATTAACGTTCAACTCAGAATATCGTTAAATTTTTAATGAAAAATGACGAGTTTTGAACATAATAAATTGTCAGATGACCATTTTGTAACTTTTAATAGTCGATGGACTCAACAAAGCAATACTCTATAGTCGAATGATCATTTTATAATTTTTAATAGTCGAGAGACTTAATAAAATAATACACTATAGCTAGAGGACCATTTGTGTGATTTACCCTATTTATTATTAACAGCAATTGGAGTGATATTAATTGAAATGGAGTCAACATGCTACTCAATTATTGTTAATGATAATGATCGAAACAAATGCATTCTTTAAATTTAATAATTCTAATAAAAATATTAAAAATAATGATTAAAATTCAAACATTTTAAAAATCCAATGACTATTAAAAAGTATAAATAATAATTTCATGTGTGTTTTGATTGTTTATCCAAACTATTTGTCACGAACGAAAGAAAGTAATTAAGCTTACTAAAGATCAATAATCAGTTGATTTAATAGAATGAAGTATTAGATTCCTTAAATAAGGTCAGAGTTTAAATTTTAGTGATTACGAATGAAATAAACTTAATCGAAATGATCACTTATGTCTCTGTAATATTTTATTCGAATTAATTAATTAATGAATCTGATAGTAGTTATTAAAAAAATAAGCTTACCAAACAAAGTTGATGTCCCCCCCCCCCCTCGAAACTAGAAAGTGCATTAACCTATGGATTGATTGTGTTTGGTTGGATCGCACACTCAAATTTTATATTTCCAGGAGACATAAAAAAGCCTTCTTCTCTGATAATTGTGTGTTTAAAAAAACAACCCTTCACCCTTCTAATTCATCATTTAGTTCTTAGAAAACACTAACCAAATTGAAGTCTTGCCCAAAATTTGAAAATTCTAAGATAAAAGATAATTAACCAAAAAAATTAAAGAAAAAAGTCATTAGAGGTCCTTATACTTTTAAAAAATTAATGTGACTATCGCATTATTTATTCTCTCAGTGTAGCCCTTCAACTCAGAAAAGAAACCCAATGTGGCCCTTTGAGCAAAGTTTTTCATTGTTGATTGTTACGGTGCTAACGTGACAGTTCACAATGTTAACATGGCGGTCCATGGTGCTGAGTGGCAGTCAATCTACCATGTTTAAGTTACCAATTTAGCTCATCTGTCACATTATCAACCATCGTGGATTACCACATCAATATCGTGGACCATCACATCAGTACAATGAATTGATATGTCAGCACTGCAATAATCAATGACGAAAACCGTTGATTATACCACATTAGGTTTATTTTCTAAGTTGGAGGATCATATTAAGAGAAAAAAATAATACATAGGTCATAATATTTTTTTAAAGTACAGGGACCGTTTGTGTACTTGCTCAAAGGTAAATGTGATTTAGAGCAGAATGGTTGATTAGTGGCGTCAAAGCGGTGCCAAAGCATGAAGCAGAAGCAAAGCAGAAGCAGAAGCAGAAGCAGAAGCAGAAGGCAAGGGAGTTTCGGAGTTCAATTGGGTGTAACCAAACTAGAACAGGCACTGAGATTCTGAGTCTTTGGCTGTTTTCGAATAATTTGAAGCCAAATATGTCACCCTCACCCATCACTATAATATTTAAAAAAACATCAACAACCTATCTTCTTCATCCTATGACCTATATCGCATTATCTGGGTCCCACGTTTCCTTTTGTCGGCTCGACCCCCTCAATTCTCTTCTTTACTAACCACCCTTCTTTTGTATTTATCCCTTTTTCTCCCACTTTCCTACAACACTTGAGGGTTGTCGTTTTTATCACCACGATATCAGTAGTAAAAAAATTGATGTTATATTTTGAAAATTTGAATTCGAATGTTAAAAATGATTAGGACATAAATATTTAATATTAAATAATTAAAAATTATATTTAAATAGATGCTACGTCTACTTTGTATTTATCTCAAATTAATTAAATGATTGAAGGTTGAACTCGTCTCATTTCCAACATAATGCTAAATATTTTTTTATTGAAAATTTAATTTTATTTGTTATTACAAATAGAAATTTTAATAAATTTTTATTGACAATACAGATAAATAGAAAATGTTTGACCGAGAAATGGGGGAAACATGGATAACTTTAACTGCAAGTAAACAGAAGGAACTAGTTTCAAGATCACATGAGAACCACCGAATATCATCTTTTTGACAAGTTAACACCGCAGGTGTGTAACTATCATCAATTTCTCATCTTGTGGTCCATTCTCCTTTTTTTTTTATAAAACATCGGTGTCAGATCTTATTAATCGATTAATTCGAATAAGATTTTATAAAAATACGAGCAACCCTTTTTAATCCAAATTTTTTTATTCGTAATCTTTAGAATTTAAACATTTGACCTTGTTTAAGGAAAATATTATCTCATCCCAACTGATTTTTTTATACCTGTTTTTTCAATTATAATTATTATTCAAAATCTCATATTTATATGGATTTTGGTATATCAAATTTAATTGACGTGACATTTGATAATTTCATAATTAAATATATTGATTTTAAATTATAAGATGTAGATTTTGAATTTGATCAAACTCGTGTCAATACGATAATTAAATATATTTTTTGATATTGAGATATAGAGAAGAAAATAATTGAGAAAATTCAGTACCCGAGCCTGATCAAGTTTAGAATTTATGTCCATAGTTCGAAATTAGCATGTTTAGCTAAATTTTCATTTTCTTTAGACCTAAGCTTTTTCAAACACGAGTAATAAGAATAGTAGAGAGAGAAGAAAGGAGAGGGAAAGAGTGTTTACATTGATGAGGTCAAAAAGGATAAAACCCTGAAAGGCCACCACAGTGCAGACTCAGAATTCCACCTACACACATTCAGATCAAAGCAGCTGCAATTGGTGATTATAAAATCAAGACAGAATTTTAATGTCCATGATCATACGGTGTGAGTAGTCAAAACAAACCCACCCCTTCATGATTCATAAAGTGAAAAGCCAACACATAAAGCTACCATTAGAAACAGTCGTAAAAACTTTCTTTCTTGCTCTAAAAGAGATCGTCAGTTGCAGACAAACAAAGGAGGTTTTAGCTCTCTCTCTCTGTGAAGTCATCAGAGTTGCTTTTGCTTTCTTTTTATCGTCTCGACTTAATGGATGCAGATAAATGGTCACAGGTTGGTGGATTTTATCCTGATTTTTCCTTTCTTTTTCTTGTTTTTTTAGAGCCTAATAAATATATCGATTTCAACTTTTTTTTTTTGAGACAATGCTTTTTCTCGTAATATCATTGTTCAAAGATCAGTCCTTTGTTGTAAGTTGAAGATTAGTCTTGTGCTTCCAACACCAAAAAGCCTGCACTTTTTTATTTTCCCCATCTTTTAAAGAGATGAAGAAAGGTTTTTTTTTGTTATTATTATTATTTTATAGCTGATATTCTTTTGTGTTGTTGCTGGTGAAATGATTGATGTCTCTGAGTCTTGTTTTCTTCATGTGTCAAAAGGGTTTTCATGGTATTGGCATGGTGAAGCCCATGGAGGAGATGGTGGCCAACACATGCACAAAGGGAGGGCCGGTTCTAGAGAGAAAAGCAAGGCCGCAGGAGCAATTGAATTGCCCGAGGTGCAACTCCACGAACACCAAGTTTTGTTACTACAACAATTATAGCCTCACGCAGCCGAGATACTTCTGCAAGACTTGCAGGAGGTACTGGACCGAAGGTGGGTCTTTAAGGAATGTGCCGGTCGGCGGTGGTTCGAGGAAGAACAAAAGATCGACGACGATATCGACCTCGTCGTCGTCGTCACCGGCTTCAGCCAAAGTCCCAGATCTAAATCCGACGAGTTTACCACACTTGTTGTCGTCTCAAAACCCTAAGGCAGCAGCCCACAAAGGCCAGGACCTTAACCTGACTTTCCCGGCTATGCAAGAGACGCGTCACGGTTTTGGTTTATCTCTTTATAATGACTACCAAAACTACTACTCGCCTTCGGCTATGGATCTCCTCAGGGCCGGGATGGTATCATCGAAGGGGCTGAATTCTTTCGTTCCGGCACCGACCCAAGACTCGGATACTCTTTACTCAACTCAGTTTTCCATGCAAGACTATAAACCGACACTCAGTTTTCCGAACGATGGAGCTGGGACTAGGGCTGCCGGCGTGCTCAATGGTGGAAGGGTTTTCTTCCCTTTTGGAGAAATGAAACCGATTTCGAGCTCTAATGAAGTTGATGATCAAAACAAGGAACAAAGCAATTCAGCTGGATATTGGAATAATAATGGAGTGTTAGGTGGAGGATCATGGTAAAAGAAATGAAGAAGAAGAAGAAGAAGGATCAAGGAACTTCTTTTTCCTTAATTTTTCTCTCACTCTTTTTTTCCCTTCCAGATGGTTGATTTGATCATTACTTGTTAAAAGTCGTCTAGAACTAACAGATCATTATCATAGGATATATATATATATGATGCTTTTCAATCTCCTTTTCTCTCCTACGAACAGTGTTAAAAGCAGATCGGATCCAATTTGGGGTTTTGCTTCATGTGAATCTAAAAGAGATGAAGTCTGTACTTCGTACTTAAAGTTTGGACTTTGGAGTTTCTAAACATACCATTTGAGAAACCCTAATCGAACCCTGAAAATCTCAATGCTAATTATTATTGTTATGGTTCGTTGTTGATCGTCTTTTCACGTAGGTTTGGGGTGAAAGTAGTGACGGGCAGAGATTCAAATTGCGCTTCCTGTTGCATTTTCATTTTCATTTTCGATTGTATTAGGTTTATAGTGATTGCGAATATATAGGTTACTATTACGGGTATTGTGGTCATATAATAACGATCACTACTGTGGATATTATGGTCATATAATAACGATTGCAGAAGGCGATACCGTTATATCGCGAGGGTTGTGACGATCGCGGACTGGTATTTAAGATGGATGGTGGCCGCCCAAGGAGTTTGATTCTTTCAGAAAAGAGAAAACGGGTTTACCTGCTCCAACTATAAACCTTACCTAATAATATATAAAAAGGCCATTTTAATGGCGGGTCTTTGCCCCCATAACTTTACAAACACTCCCAATGCTCTTTTATTTCTTTCTTTTTTTGTTTAATGAAAAAGGGGTTTGAAAATTAAGGCAAAGATGCTACCCCACACTTAAATTTGGTACAGAAACATTCCATCCCCAGAAGTCAATCCCAGTGTTCCCTTCTTTTCTTGGATTTGTCTTGTTGTCTTTATCGTTACCAAAATCTTTGTTCATTAAATTAGGGTCTCTATCCTATTTCTTTGTTCATTTACTTTTATGCTTCTCGAATCTATATGGAGTTTTTGTTTGGAATCACGTCTCTTCTTTAACTAGTTTATGACATTCAAAGGCTATAACGAACAACTGGCTGGGGTTGAAGAAAAATCGACATGTTAATCTTTGTACTTTAATTTATCGTAATTTTGTTCTTATACTCTATTTAAAATTAGTCAAGTTGTTGATAAATGCATGAATTGTTGACTTCTGGTAAACTACTGGTATTTTGTTGCATACAATTTTTTGAATTGTAGATTATTCATTTAGTGATTTAACTGCAAAGTTTAGAAAAGTACTCAATCGGACTAAGTTTTTAGTTTTTATAAAACATGAGGATCAAATTTTGAAAAAAAAATAGAATAAAAGGACTAACGTTTTAATTTTAATAAAAATATAAGGATATAGTTTAGAATTGGCTTAATGCCCAACTAAGTGCCCAAACTATACATTTTGTGCCAAACAAATGCCTACACTTTTTTGGCCCATGCGGGTGCTTAACGTTACAAACGTTAACACTTTAGGTACCCGGACAGTCAACGACGTTAATTTTCTCCGTTAAATGACACGTGTCACAACTTGGTAACTTTGAAATTTATTTTTTAAAATATTTAAAATATTATTATATTTATAAAGAAAAAACATCAACTTTTCTTATATTATAAAACAACCCCAAAATCCCAAATCCTAACCTTAATTTGTTGTCGCCGCCCTCTCCGGCCACAACCACTGCCGCCGACATAGTCCTTGCAATCATCCTAGTTATATGCCGCCATAGTTGTTGCCGATTCACCATCAGAATCGTGTGGATCACGATTTTCATCATAAGGTTCGCGGGATTTAAAACATCAATTTGTCGTTGATCGGTCGTCAACCGGTCACGATTTCATAAGGGTTTTGGTCGGGGGGAGGGATCGAAATTTGTGTGTGTTTTTAAATATATAAATTTTTAAATAATGTTTTTTAAAATTATCAAATTGTGATACGTGTCATTTAACGGAAAAAACAACGTTTAGCACCCGGATGGAACAAAAAAAAGCACTTATTTGACACAAGGTATAGTTTGGGCACTTATTTGAGCATTAAGACTTTAGAATTAGTCCAATTTATAACTCATATTTTTATGGTACCTCTTCTATATTCCTTTTAACCAATAAGGAAGCAGTTTTATCTCCTTAATTCTTCTGAAATTTAAATCGTACATCACTATAAATCATAATTTTTTACCCTCTGTAACTCAAATCAAGTCTTTCCATTGACGTTAACCATCAGGTAAGGATTCAATTAGAATATTTTAAAATACAGGGACCAGTTTAGAATTCGGCATATAATTTAGGGAGGTGTATACAATTTACTGTAAAATAAAATTAAACAATGAGCTTAATGATATTGAGCTACAATACATTTCTCTAACGTACAAGACAATATTTGTTCAAAGATAATTCTCGATCATTTGACATTAAAATCTCATACCTCTGATATTCTTAGTGATTAAATCCGAAATCTTAAAAAATAACAAATAATTTCTTTACTGAGCTCGATAGGTTGATGCTAAAAAAAATTGAGTTCATACACTCATTATGTGACCTGAAAATAGACAATCCGATCGATCATGATGGACAAAAATTTCGAAAGGAAAAGCTTAGTTACTGCTGTACGGGAGTTGAGACGACAAGTATATGACAGTCTATTTCTCAACTCAAAGCAGATTTTCAGAACTTAGGACATTGTTCAATATAGAAAATCCCCAGACGATCCTCGTTTTCTCAAATGTCCCAGTTGTTTGATTCGGTCCAATTATATAAATAATTTCTCAGACTTAGCGTGCTCGAATGAAGAAGAAGATGATAGGAAATTAATGGAAAGTGCTAATGGAACCTTCAATCGAGTAAAATGATCATCAGGTTGAACATGAAAGCATCGCCAAACGAACAAAAAAAAACTGGGAGTCGGCGAGGAATTAATCACTTACTCGACCCAGCAAACACCACAAGCAACCGCTGCTGCAACGGGAAGACTAGCAAGAAAGAACAGCAGCAGAGGCAGCAATGACGTAACCATCAGTAAGGATTCAATTAGAATATTTAAAATACAAGGACCAGTTTAGAATTCGGCATATAATTTAGGGAGGTGTACACAATTTACTGTAAAATCAAATTAACAATGAGCTTAATGATATTGAGCTACAATACATTTCTCCTAACGTACAAGAATATTTGTTCAAATAATTCTCGATCATTGACATTAAAATCTCATACCTCTGATATTCTTAGTGATTAAATCCGAAATCTTAAAAAATAACAAATAATTTCTTTACTGAGCTCGATAGGTTGATGCTAAAAAAAATTGAGTTCATACACTCATTATGTGACCTGAAAATAGACAATCCGATCGATCATGATGGACAAAAATTTCGAAAGGAAAAGCCTAGTTACTGCTGTACGGGAGTTGAGACGACAAGTATATGACAGTCTATTTCTCAACTCAAAGCAGATTTTCAGAACTTAGGACATTGTTCAATATAGAAAATCCCCAGACGATCCTCGTTTTCTCAAATGTCCCAGTTGTTTGATTCGGTCCAATTATATAAATAATTTCTCAGACTTAGCGTGCTCGAATGAAGAAGAAGATGATAGGAAATTAATGGAAAGTGCTAATGGAACCTTCAATCGAGTAAAATGATCATCAGGTTGAACATGAAAGCATCGCCAAACGAACAAAAAAAAACTGGGAGTCGGCGAGGAAGAATTAATCACTTACTTGACCAGCAAACACCACAAGCAACCGCTGCTGCAACGGGGAAGACTAGCAAGAAAGAACAGCGGCAGAGGCAGCAATGTCGGACACAGACACAGTGGTTGATGGAATAGAACACAAGTATTGTCTTCGACCTACAAGCGCTGATAATCCAAAATAAAAATAAAAAAATAAAACGGGATTCGCCCAGACTTGAACCGTAAACCTTCTGTGTGTTTATCTAACGTGATAACCAACTACACCTCGACACCTCACTGTTGCGCTGAAAAGTATCTCGTTATATATTGTGACAATAATCTTTGAAATGAAGATACGTACTTTTTCTGAAACAAAGTCCAAAGTGATATCAAACAGAGACCGCAACTTCACAGTGTAGAAGAACGTGACCTAAGTTCTCAACTTCACATCTAGACCACAGCTTGTTCCCAGCAAAATTGACATGAAAACTAGAGAAAATAGGCCAAAATTGGCCTTTGACCAATGTTTTTCTATCGTTTAACGTTACGGTGTTAGTGTGACAGTCTATAGTGCTAACGTGGTAGTCCATGATGGTTGATAACGTGATGGTTGATATGACAGATGTGTTAAATTGATAACTCAAACATGACATATAGACTATCACGTCAGCACTGTGGACTGTCCCACCAATAATGTAACGTTCAACGACTAAAAACGTTGATCAAAGAACAACATTTAGTTTGTTTTCTGAGTTTAAAGAGCTAGAGAGGAAAAAAATGTGAAGCCCACATTAATTTTTTTTTTCAAAAGTACAAAAACCTCTAGAACCTTTTTACCCGAATAAAACTAGTAATGCAAAAAAAAAAAAACAGACAACTTACTTTTCGATGCTCATAAAGACTACGCTATTCCTTTATATAATAACCCGATCCAATTTGGTGTAAAGTGCACACTGCTCACCTCGAGCTATCTTTGTACCTCTGTTGTTATTTTTGTTCGAAAGCTTGTTTCGAATGGAAAACGAGGGAATTAAGGGAAGAGTTGCAACGACGACATACGAGTACGAGGATTTGTTACTGGTGATGGCCGAGAAGCTGGACACGGATGCTTTTGTGTCCGAATTATGTCAAGGGTTTCATCTTCTAGCTGATCAGAACGCAGGGCTGATAAGGCCCGAGAGTCTAAGGATTAACGCTGCTGCACTTTTAGGTATGGAAGGGATGAGCAAAGATGAAGCACAAGCTATGGTCAGAGAAGGTGATCTTGATGGAGATGGAACACTCAACCAGACCGAGTTTTGCATCCCGATGGTGAGGCTTAGCCCCAGAATGATGAACGACGCTGGGTCGTGGCTCGAGAAAGCTATCGTTCAAGAGCTAAACAAATCCTCAGCTTGATCTTTTTCTTCTTTTTTTTTTTTGAAGGTATGCTTGTATGAAATTGGAGCACTATATTCATGTTGTTGTACTGCAATATAATTATTAATTAAAATGATTATGAAACAATTAATGATCGAAATTGAGACCCAAGACCTGCAGACAAGTGCTTTACCCTTGTCTGAAATACTCCTGCTCCATTATCATTAAAAGTTCATACTCAAAGTTAATCAATTTCTCTTGTAGCTTCATCACCATTGACACCCTATGTAAGATTTCATATATTTCATCACATCTACGATGAGATTTATCCTCCACAAGAAACTTGTGCATTTCGTCTCCCTCTACAAGGAAGCTATATCCAGCTGCCTTTGTAATTTTGCCGCCTTTCATAATCTTCCTCAGCTTTGCAACCCCGTCCCAGGGGCCCGAAGATGCATATATAATAGAAAGAATAACATAGTTTCCAGCATTCCATGGCTCGAGCTCAAATAGAGGTTGAGCTGCTTTTTCTGCTAGTTCGGCATTGTTATGGAAGCTGCAAGCTCCTAATAGAGCTCCCCAAACCACCGCGTCAGGCTTCAAAGGCATGGTTTTTATAAGATCATAAGCTTCCTGCAATGCTCCGGCCCGACCTAGGAGATCAACCATGCATCCATAATGCTCCAATTTAGGATTGATATTATAATTTCTCGTCATTGATTCGAAAAGTTCTTGTCCTTTCATCACCAATCCTCCATGCGTGCATGCTAAGAGAACTCCAACAAATGTAACATAATCTGGTGCAGTTTCTTCATGCTGTTGCAATCAGTGACATGGACATAAAAGAAATGAACTAAATAGGAATGCAAAAATATTAAAAGGAAATGCTAATCAGCATTTGATCGTAATACTCGAGAGCTTCAATCGATTTTCCATGAAGAGCAAGAGCCATGATCATTGAATTCCAAGAGCACAAATTTCACCTCTTGCCGGTTTCATCGAACACCGTTTTCGCCACTTCGATTTTACCACACCTCGTATGCATTTCGAGGATAGAATTGCTAACATACAAGTCCTCAAACAATCCTTGCATAAGCTTCGATCCTTTCCCCAACCTCCAACGCTCCAAGACTTGCACAAGCTGGAAGCACACTAGCAATGGTCACTCGATTCGGCTTAACACCCCTCTCGTTCTCCATCTCTAAAAACATATCCAAGGCTCTTGAAAATTGCTCGTTCTGCGAATAACCAGATATCATGGAGATCCACGAAACAACATTCTTCTCCGGCATCGATTAAATAATTCCAAGGCTTCATTCGAATCCCCACACCTCGAATACCCAGAAATCAAAGCTTCCAAGAGGGCGCATTTCGTCTAACACTTTGCGAGCCAAAGGTAACATACGAAGTTTCTCATACATGTCGAGCAAAGCGGTTAACGCATAGCAATCAAGACGAAACCCAGATTTGATAAGATGGGTATGAAGGATTTGGCCGTGGGAAAGGGAGGAAAGTGCTGCACACGCAGGGAAAAGGAAGATGAAAGAATGCTCGTTGGGGGAACAGTTGTTGAGGCACATTTGGGAGTAGAGAGTGAGGCATTGGTGGGATTGGTTGAACGAGGAGTAGGCTTGGATGAGTTTGTTGTGGAGAAATACAGTTTTGTTTGGGCTGAGATTGAAGAGCTTGTGGGCATAAGCGATGTTCGGTGCTTGGATGCGTTGGATGATGAGAAGCTCAGTTTGGTATTGCTCCAGGCCATTTTTTAGAGTGTAAGCAATGGATTTTTTAAGCCGGTTCATGACATCTTTCACAAACTAGGCTAATAATCTCAACCTAAATTTATTCTATGAATTATGATTATTAAATTATTATTTTTTTGGTTGTCCTTCCTATTCTAAAACTTCACTTTTATTAATCCGTACCGATAAGCTTCATAAATTTACTTTGATGAGTCTCAAGAATTTTTTGCATCCACAAAAAGTCTAATCAAATTTAATAAGTGGGTCTTTGTGTGCAGGTACTTGAGATAACAGATATGTTACGTGTTCACAGTGCGAGCTCTCGTTGATTCTCAAAGCAAACGATTGTGCTGTTGGATCACAAGCCCTGCTTTAACAAAGCATCCAAAGCATGCGGGGGGGTGAAAGATTGAACCTTTATCTGCTTCAAGCAGGCAGCAGCAGCAACAAAATCCATAAGGCTTACGGTTCAGGGGTCACCCCCCTATAAGATTAGTGTAAGGCTGTTAGGGTTCTAAAATAAGCTGACAAGCAGCATAATGTCAAATGACAGTACCAAGGATTGAATTCCAAACTAGTTTCCTAGGATGTAATTCTTTTGCCACGTGTCACAGCTCAACTCCTTTAAACATTCCCAGTCGGTTTCCCCACTCACTGCACTTTGCCCATCGCATGCATTGATTTTCCTCACCAAACTAAAGATTGACTGGAAAAGAGAACGAAGGTAAATTACAATACCACCATAAATTTGTTAAACCAGAACTTCCTTTTAGTTTCTAATGATTTCCTCTGCATTTTCGTGTTTGATCTTGATTTTATTCGATAGATATTCAACTGGGTGCAGAGGAGGTTCAATCATACCATCCTCAATGGTTCGATTTCTTGCATTATATATACGTATCATTGTACATTCTCTGTAGAGAGTTTGATCATTAGGAAACTTTCATATTTTGAGCAGATGGGCCGTCTCGAAGTGTTAAGAAGACTGATGGCATTGTGATCGGCGCAGATACAAAAGCTTTGCTCGAGCAGGTACCCCTGGTTGATGTGCTCGATGGCATTCTAACAATCGGCACCTTCGGTTTCAATCCTCTGAAATCATCCTGGGGCGAACAGAAACGCTGCTTCGCCTCGGAAAGCGATGCTGAAAAAGGGGAGGAAGGACAATACTCCGATAATGGACGATTACGGCTATAGTAACGAAGAAGAGAATCCACTGATGTTAAGCAATTTCGACCACAGTTTTGAGGACATGACGATGACTGTTAATCCGGCTGCTGAGGGGTCTACAAATGATGAAATCAGGACAAAATTGGATGTCAATGAGGGACATTCTGGGAAGGTGAGAAGAAGAACGACACTGGCCGACCTATTCTCCGAGGATTCTGATTCCAGCATGAAAAATAAGCCGAGCTCTCTTGAATTGGACTCGAATTGTAGCGGAAAGGGATTAGTTCGTGCAAAACAGGGCCTTTCTTTCGCTAAGAAACCCATTCCTCAAGTTGGAGAGCATTCACGTCCCATCAAAATGCTAAACCAAGTGACTGAGTACTATATAAACTACTAAAGCTCTGCATATTTTGCATAATAATCACACACCATTTATATATAAATTTCATTTTAACTAAGGTTTTAGTTCAATAATTATACATAAATGCTAAAAAAATGGTTATGAAACTGACTGTCGTATCTGTTTATTAGAGAGCATAATACAGCTGATTAAACAATTATTTTTTATCTGTTATCAGACGATGAGGAGAATGATGAAGAAGAAGATCCACCCAGAGCTTGAAGGCAGGGGAAATAAATTAAACAATCAATGTAGCAAGAAGAAACATGAAGCCAGTGAATCAGCTTATCTGCTTCAACAATCTCCAGACAAATTTCAAGTTATGAACCACAGCGAATGCTTCACTATTCGGTCTTTCCCTTTCTTCTTGTATTATATGTGAGGGTTTTGCAACTGGTTATTCTTGTACGTACTCCATGTCTCTGCATGGTTAGGTCAAGTTTGCATGGACAGGAGAGAAGCTTGAAATAATTGTGGCCCTTTAGCCCCATGATAATCCCCTCGGTAGGGTTTCCATGTGTGTCTGCTTGTAATTTAAGATTGGTAGGGACGAATCCCCGCTACCTTTTAACCATCTTTAACGTTCATTGTGAACATCAAATTCTAGATTAAGTAACTAATGAGTGTAGTATCAATTGGTTTTGGAGTAAACTATTTCACCATTGTTGCTGTTGCTGCAGGTGCTGCTACCTGCTACAGCTTGAGCTTCGAGTTGATGATGATTACCAAAGCTGCTAGAAATTAGTGTTTTCCCGTCTTGTGCTTAAATAATTGTTTTTCTGATTAATCAAGCTCTTCGTGTATGTGAAATATGGAGCCATGTGATTCTCTTTAGCAATAATAATCCTTTCATGTTCTGTTTCGACTTTTTGCATGTGTGAGTTGTTCGATTTGCTTCCTGAAACGTGATGATTTATGAGAATTTGAAATTTTCATGATAACTTGCATATGTTTTGACAATCATTATTCATGTAGATATCTCTTTCGTGTAGATATTTCTTTTCACATGTCTGAAAAATGAAATATGAAGAGACATCTACATGCTGTGCATGGGCCGCCAATACAGAGCATATGCAAGTTGCTTTAGTTGCATTAAATTTAAAACTATAATAAAAGATAGAAAAATTATTTGTCTGGAATCAAATCTTGAGTAAGAAGGCGCGTATCTAGCCATGGCTGCTAAAGAAAAGAAAGCATCCCTCGTTTATATTAAAAGAACCCACTTTTCTCCCATCAAAGCCTTGGTCCAACATCTAAATGGAACCAATCTACAAGCATTATGTCGTCAACTAATCAAATTCTACAATATATATGTATTATATATGTGATTTCAGTTGACTATGACCATTATGGTTTTGTTGTTATAAAATAACGATGTATAATGATCGTCAAATAAAATGGACACCAAGATTATACGTGAAAAATCATTTCGAAAAAATTCACAGGTAGAATAGAAAGAAAATTCACTGATGTCAAGAAAAAAAGAATATAATAAAAGTCATCGTGAACAACCTAATCTCTAACATTAACCCTTAGTATTTATTTCTAGCCATAGATATTTGATTACAAAAGAAAATTAAATAAAATAGAAATATATTTTAATAAAGTTATCTACTTTTAATCAAACTAGGATTCTTACTTTTTCAAATTTAAATATTAATTAATTTGTAACACTTTGAATTCGAATCAAACTTTAACAAATTTCCGCTTTGACGTGATTATGAAAGTATGAAGTTTTCGAGACAAAACACCCAAATTCAACGAGGCATCGAACAAATTCTTCACATCTTCCACAAAATCCCTTAGAAGGGTATTCTTCAACAATGATTGCTAATTGAATCCAAAGTTTGCCGAAACTTGGTTTTAGTCTTTACATCGATAAGGAAATCATAAGTGCTAACGTTGCTCCCAACTTGTTCACTACAAGCAATATCATGCACAACATCATCTCGATCATCAATAGCAATTCGATATTTTAGTTATGCTGAGGGAACTAAATTTTTTTCTTCTCGAATCTGTTATGCTCACGTAACTGATCTCTCTTTTTCTTTTCAAATTTGTTATGCCCACGAAATAGAACATTTTTCTGCTCCCAAAACCATTATGCCCACGGTTATGTTGTTCAACACAAAATCTTCATTTTCCATGAAGAAAAAAAAATCATATAATTGTTAAACCTTGTAGAATTTAAAACTTGGCAGTCTTCCTCTACCATTTTATCAGAATAAGAGAGCTCTTGTAAATTTATGTACATCTACCTTCCACGATTTGAATCTGATGTTACGATCCAACATTGACTTCTCATACTTTGGAGATGTTATTATCGTAATCAAGTCAAACAACATGGACGCTCTGATATCAATTTGTTATAAGATAACGTCATGCATAATTATCATCAAATAAAATAGACACTAAGATTTTACGTGAAAACCCCTTTGGAAAAAACCACAGACATAAAAGGAGAAAAATTCACTAGAATTCTTAAATTTGAAATATTATTTAATTTATATCACTTTGAATTAGAATCAAACGTGGGTTCAATTTAAACTTATATAGCGATAAAAGACCTTTTATATATATATATATATATATATATTTGATGGACACATATAAGAAGAAGAGAGTAAGATGAGAGTTTGTTAGTGGAAATTTGAGGTGAAGCAAATCTAAACGTAGGACTCCAAATCTAGTGTTGAATCCAACAAGTTGTTTGAGCTTTTGTCCAGTGTTTTGAAAATCGGACCGGATCGGTCGGTTCAACCGAGAATCGTTATCTAATCCGGTTCAACCTACACCGGTTGAACCGTTACTAGTGAACCGACCAGAACCGCTGAACCGTTCGAATCAGACCAGCTGAAAATCAGAAAAAACCGCCAATTATATATATATATTTTTTAAAAAAAATTAAACTAAACGACGTCGTTTGTTAAACGAGCTAAGTCAAACTCGGGTATTGCTGAGCTCGACTCGAACTTGAAAACTTTAAAAGTAAGCTCAACTCGACTCAAACTCACGAGCTAAAAATTATCAAATTCAACACGAACTCGAAATATAATATTGAAACTTGAACTCAAAAAAAATTTAAAAGCTCGATTGAAGTGGAAGAATAGTTCACTCAATGCTCACCAAAAGGCTCCATGATTTTGAATGTCAAATTACATTTATTATTTATAGAAGTTAGTTGTGATGTTCTTCTATGTTTCTTAGCCATGTGGGATTGTTTTGTTCTCATATTTTTATTCTTTAGACTTTTGGGATGCTCTTCTATCTTTCTTAGCCATGTGAGATTGTTTTTTTTCTAAATTAAACCAAACAATATCATTTTGTTATGATTTTTTAGCCTCAAATTTATTTTTTAATTATAGTTATATAATTATATTTATTATTTAATATGTTTTACCTTAAATATTATGTTGTAGTTAATTTGAATCATTTTGTTTAACTTGATTTTATGGTTTTTAACTTATATATGTTATGATTTGCTTTGAATATGACTTGTGATATAAAAAAATATTTTTTATTAAATATTTTTTATATTTTTTATTTAATTTTTAAATAATTATGACATCGTCCGATTCTTCAAACCGATTCAACCGATTAAATCAGTGAACCGATAGCATGACCGGTTCGCTAACCGGTCCGGTTCTGAAACCATGCTTTTTGTCGTTCTAAAGATAAGAGCAATGGCAATGGAAAATATGACGTGCGTCATAGCCTGAATGGTTCATGTACGTGGCTCTTCAAAGGACCACGGATTCAAACCTGAACATATTCCTATACCTTTTCAAAATTCAAAAATATCAGGGAAAAATTATATATAAAATTCAAAAATATCAGAAAAAAATTATATATATATATATAATTTTCCCCGATATTTTTGAATTTTGGAAAGGTGGAGGAATATAAGTGAAGAAGCTTTACACCTTCCCCCACCTCCTCCATGGCTAGTCAGAATGGAATTAAGGCATCAAACCCAGTGATCTAGAACGATATCGTTTCAAAAGTAACTCTTAATATCTCGACATGAATGCTCACACTTTCGACATCTATGGTGCTCGACCCGGATCATTAAGGAATAATAATAATTCATATACTAAAGAAACCACTTGGTTCGTGCAGATACGTAAATTTTAATCTTCATTGAGAAACTCACTCTTTAATATCAAATGTGCGACAATTTAAATTAGTCAAGACAAAATTTTAAAAGTTGAAAATTTTAACATGACAACCAATAATAAACAAATAAAATAATAAATGTCTTCCTTCCTACTGTAACTTTTAACATATCCACGGTCGAGTTCATAGTAAAAGACAAATCAACTTGGCTCAATGATCCTCAAGCAACACATACACGCACTATAAATGAAGATCTAATTATTATCCTCCAAATGTTTGGTCCTTGGTCTTCTGTTTCCATATCTAGTTCTTGCCATAAATAAAATAATTTAGACCAATTCTAATTGTACATCCAATTTTAATAATGAATTCTTTTAATTAGTTTTTTTTACATATATTAAACTCAAATGATTTGACACGACTCTTTTTATGGTAAAACTCGACACGACCATCGGATAGACAAAATCTGAGAAAAATTACGCGTACTGCGTACATAGATTTGTGTCCCGGTTTAATTAGCTTCACTTTTACGCTGTCCCGATGACACAGTATATCCATCCAAGTGTTACGGTCAATCATTTTGACAATTATACCCATCTGATTTAACCACAAAGCGGTCATAATTGCGAATAGGCCATGGGAACACGAAATGAGTAGTGCGTTCCATTATTCATTTCAGCCCCGGATGAAGGCCACGTGTCTCGGACTGGTTCTGAAAAGAGGCCGAAACTTCTTGAAATCGCACTAAATAGACACGTGTCATGAGGTAAATAATATTGAAATTTTAATCAAATATATATCATATATTTTATTTGTTTAATTTTGACTTATTAACATTTATACCATATAAACAAAATTAGTAGAATTTAATTCTTTTTAAATAATAAACATTTTACATTTAATGTTAACTAAAATATTTACCTGTTTGGAAGTTGACTTGTACAAGGTAATTGTCTTCTCCACGCGCCAGTTTTTCTCTCTTCCCACGCTCTTACTAATTAATTTCAGTGATCATTTAGGGACATTCATTCTTTTTAATGTATTTCACCAATGCTAATTGTGACATTTTTTTATTCATCTTCTAACGACCTCGAAATTAATTTAAAAGTATATTCCTTAGGACATTTCTCCCTTGGAATGAAAATGGTATAAGTATTGGTAGTGATGAGAGATGTAAATAAATTGAATGTCTTGATGAAATGCTTATAATATTTCGTATAACGTTTATTTATTAAATTAGATAGATGAGTATGAATAATATTTTTATATTATTTAATAAATGAAAGAATATAAACGAAAGTGTTGAGTTATGACTCAATTTCTTCTTACAATTGTAAAAGTTTAAAGTGTACAGAACGGGCGAATCTTGTCGTAGGTCTCTCATTATTTAATAATTATTCTTTAACATTTTATTATTATTTATTTAATGACAAATGATATTTTATTCTTATATTTATTAGGTTAATCTTACTTTTATAAAATAATTTTTAATATTTATATATATTATCAGTTTCATTATATTTCTAATAAATAAATAAATCATAATATATAAATATGAAACATTACAAAATCAATGACCGATGTAACGAGGAGGACTTATAAGATAATTTACATATAATATTTTCAAAATATTTTTTATGCTCTTAAAGTGTCATATTTATGTGCATGAATAAATAAATAAATTTTATATTCAGAAATCTCAAATTTGAATATAAATAATTTTAAGATATTCAATAATTAATTATCAAACAATTAAATTTTTTAAAAAAATTTATTATTACTTATAAACATCATAAATTAATCAGAAAAATGGCATATTCATGTTGAGAAAATAGGTATCCGTTTACATTCAAAAAATTAAGATTTAATAATCATTGCAATACGTCATTACTATGATATAGGGCTAATATGCATATACAGAATCCTTTTAAGCTCCGAGTAAGACCTACATCTTGTGTTGTCTCGACAATCAAACGTCAGCGAGGTAAGCGTGTTTTCCACGCGATCTGGTGTCGGCCATCTCTCTTTCCCCACATTTCATCGGACAATAGTGGCGGCGTTGGTAATTAATAAAATTATCAACCATGGAAGTTTTACTTTTATGCATGTATTAATAAAGGATTATAGAAATGATATTGTCAAAATTGATAGCTAAAAAAGATTATTGTTATTTTTTTAAATCTCGAATTCGAATATAAAAAAACAAGAATGTAAATGTTTTAATATTAAATGATTGATAATTATCTTTAAACTAATATTTATACGTATTAATAAAAAGAATGAGATTATTGTGCTTATATAAAGAGCAGCCACACTAGCTAGCTTTACTCCCATAATCAGAAAGCCGGCGTCTTTCCTTCGAAAGAAGAAAAGATCAGCGTCTCTTTTTCTTTGAATTATTAGTATTAAACTACTTATAGCTAAACTAACCCAACACCATGAGAAGTGACTTTGAGAGTGTCTGGGTTTTTGCCCTTGCATCCAAATGCAGAGCCTTTTCTCAAGAAAACATTGCATGCTCAATTTTGATTGTCGCCCTAGCCTGGCTGGTTATGGCCCTGATCTACTGGTCTCACCCCGGTGGTTCAGCTTGGGGCAAATATAGGCTCAAAAAGTGTGCCACTCTCTCTGTTTGTTACAGACCAATACCGGGCCCTAGAGGGTTTCCTTTAATCGGGAGCATGGACCTCATGGCCAGCTCCCTAGCGCACCACAAAATCGCAGCCGCTGCCGAGACATGCAAGGCCAAGAGGCTCATGGCCTTTAGCCTCGGCGATACTAGCGTCATCGTTACGTGCAATCCCGATGTAGCGAGAGAGATTCTCAACAGCTCTGTGTTTGCTGATCGTCCGGTGAAAGAATCGGCTTATGACTTGATGTTCAACAGAGCAATCGGGTTCGCTCCTTACGGGGTTTACTGGCGAACACTGAGAAGGATCGCAGCAACCCACTTATTTTGCCCTAAGCAGATTAAAGGTTCCGAGGAACAGAGGCGCTTGATTGCCTCTGAAATGGCGACCTTATTTACTAATCACCATAACCGAAGCTCCCACGTTCGGGACGTGCTGAAACGAGCCTCGCTAAACAGCATGATGGTATCGATATTCGGACGAAAATATAAACTAGATTGTGCCGATAATGATGAAGTCGATGAACTTCGAGCTCTAGTTGATGAAGGGTATGATTTGCTAGGGACATTGAACTGGTCCGATCATCTCCCTTGGCTAGCCGAATTCGACCCTCAAAATATCAGGGCTAGATGCTCAACCCTTGTACCTAAAGTTAACCGATTTGTTAGCCGAATCATATCCCAACACAGAGCTCAAACAAACGAGAAAGCTCGAGATTTCGTCGACGTGCTGCTTTCTCTCCAAGGTGCCGATAAATTATCAGACTCCGATATGATCGCCGTTTTATGGGTAAGTTAATCTTTGTATTTTGACTGATTGAGTTAATGTCACCTTCATAATATTTGTGTTTGTGTAGGAAATGATATTCAGAGGAACTGATACAGTGGCGGTCCTGATCGAGTGGATATTAGCTAGGATCGTGCTTCACCCTGGTGTTCAGTCAACAGTCCATGATGAACTCGACAAGGTTGTTGGCAGATCAAGAACCGTCGATGAATCTGATGTAACGAACTTGATTTATCTCGCGGCTGTGATCAAGGAGGTTCTGAGGCTTCATCCACCGGGCCCGTTGTTATCTTGGGCTCGACTTTCTATCACCGATACAACCGTCGATGGGTATCACGTTCCGAAGGGGACCACGGCGATGGTGAACATGTGGGCCATCGCGAGGGACCCTCAAGAATGGGCAGATCCACTTGAATTTGTACCCGACAGATTTTTTGCTAAACAAGGCGAGGTGGAGTTTTCCGTACTCGGCTCGAATCTCCGGCTGGCTCCGTTCGGGTCGGGTAGGAGAACATGCCCCGGAAAGAAATTGGGGTTGACCACCGTAACCTTTTGGGTGGCGACCCTTTTGCACGAGTTCGAATGGCGACCGTCAGATCAGAGTCCCGTTGACTTGTCCGAGGTTTTGAAGCTGTCGTGTGAGATGGCTAATCCTTTGAGTGTTGAAGTTCGTCCTAGGCGTATGTCTCAGTACTAGCATAATTAATTAGTCACGTGGGAAATGAGATACTAAGACACAAAAATGTTGTGGGTAAATTACAAGCTTACTCACTAAACTTTACTCTCCTATTTCACTCACTGTACTTTCAATATTTCAGTTTTCTCACTGAACTTTAGACGTTGGACTTTTTTGGTCACTCGACCGTTAAATTTCTAACGTCGTTAAATTAAAATTAAAAAATTAAAAGTATAGTGAGTGAAATAGGAGATAGAGTAAAGTTCAGTAAGTAAACGTGTGACATGTTCTATTATTAAAATAAACCACGTCACCACCCCGTTATTGTGTGAACACGGTCGAGTGGCCAAAAAAGTTTAATGTCTAAAGTTCAGTGAGTAAATTAAAAATTGAAAGTATGGTGAGTGAAATAAGAGAGTAAAATTTAGTTAGTAATCGTGTAATTTACCCAAATGTTGTTCCTATCTTTTCTGTATTGTAAATACTAATATTAATATTACTCTCTCCCGTGTGACATGTTCTATTATTAAAATAAACCACGTCACCACCCGGTTATTGTGTAAACACGGTCGAGTGGCCAAAAAAGTTTAATGTCTAAAGTTCAGTGAGTAAATTAAAAATTGAAAGTATGGTGAGTGAAATAAGAGAGCAAAATTTAGTTAGTAAGCGTGTAATTTACCCAAATGTTGTCTCTATATTTTCTGTATCGTAAATACTAATATTAATATTACTCTCTCCCATTGCTTACTATGTTAAACGTTTTATTGTATTTTCACGTTAATTTAGTACTCGAAATTATTAAATTACATCATTATATACTCCATCCCTAAATTATAAACTATATATCATGATCCCATAACTCATAACTCTAAACTTAACTCTATCTTATTGTTTATAATTTAGAATATTAAGTTATGATAGGGTATTGAATGACTCAATTATATAACTTTGAGGACTAAATTGATGTGAAAATAAGATAGGAACAAAAATGATAAATCGGATCTACTATAAGAACAAAGGTGACCCTTTGATAGCTGTTAGGATTTTCGGAAGCTCGAAACGACAACCGGAACGATTTGCAAAGAGGGGTCGGAACGGTTTTGTGTTTAGGGAGTAAGGAGATTGAAAGATAGAGAATTGCACAGCGATTTATAGTGGTTCGACTTTCTCAAACAAAGTCTACGTCCACTACCTTAGCTCCTCACCAAGGATTTTCCAACAAATTCACTAATTTGTTCTTTCTTTTGAGGATAAAGAGTAACCTTACAAACTCCCTAGTTTTTCCGGGCTAAACTAGAACCTTTCCCTAGCTTTTACACGGGATAAGCTAGAACCTTTCCCCTTTACAAAAGGATAAAATAAGTAAACAAGAAAACCTCTCTAAGGTAGGTGTTTACAAGATTGAGCTCACAAGAACAAAATATTTACAAGAGAAAGATGAAATAAGATTGAAAAACTCTTCTCTTGTGTTTGATTGCTTGGATAATTGTTCTCTTCCTTCTTCAAGTGTCCTCAGCTTGTATTTATAGCTTGGAATGAGTTTGAAGTCGTATATAGCCGTTGGGGATGTTTTGGAGCCGTTTGGGGATGATTTTTATACTCAAAAAGGTTGCCCAGAATGGGGGGAATCGGTACCCCTTCATAGGGAATCGATACCCCTTCATAATATTCAAATATTATGACCGTTGGGCTGATGAACAGTGAGGGAATCGGTACCCCCTTGGGGGGAATCGGTTCCCCTTTTACATACTGGAATTTTGAGCCTCGGGTTACTGTTCAAACAGTGATTTACTGTTCAAACAGTGATTTACTGTTCAAATAGTAAATTACTATTCATAAAAACATTTTTGTGCTCAATTTTAAATTAAAAGAACTTTGAATTATTTTTGTAAATTTTGAATAAATTCAATTAAGTCCAAAAACATTTTGTAAATTCAATTCAAGTCCAAAAACCATTTTGTAAATTCAATTGTTATATCGAAACATAGTTCAACAATAGCATTTATTGGTTAATGATTAGTCATATAGATGTATTGGTTATAATTATATTTGTGTTGTATTATTAAATATATTTGTATAATAGTAACTTAAAGTGATTATTTAAGGTGGATTAAGTTTAATTTGATTGTCATTAGTATTGGCACAATATGCAAGAGGACTTAAGTGTGCTTAAGTGTTCTCTATCCTCTTATTTATAAATAATTGAGTGTCTAATAGTATATATATATATATATTGTATCAAATTATTAAAAAACATTTATTTAATGACCTATACTAATAATAATAATATATTACTATTGACAACTATGTAGATATATGTTAATATTTATTATATCTAAAATTCCAAGGCTTGATATTGAAAATTTTTCAAGAAACTATTATTATTTTTAATAAATTAGTCATAAAGAAAGTTGAAGTCAATGTTATGTGCAAGAACAAAATTTGAATTGCATGGGGTAGGTAGGCCATGGCCCTCTATGCCCAAAAGGGTAAATTGCTTATTAAGTCACCCATTATTATTTAGTTTTTATTTGGCTCATTCAATTATTATATATTTTAAATCGCACTTAATGTTACATTTTGATTATGTTTTGGTCTCTCATCTTTAAAAAATTAATGGTGATGTTGATATATCCTCATAAGAAAATACCATGTCATGATTGAAAAATAATTAAAAGAAGTGATGTTAACGTCATTGTTATTTTTTTAACGGTAGGTGGTCGAAACATATATATGGTTTTTTGCATAAAATTTTTATTATATTTATATTGACCTAGTCTATAAAATTTTTCTAAATTCGCCACTGAGTGGGTGTAAATTACTAATAGACAGGGTTTCTTAATTCTAGGGTGAACTATACATTTAGTACATAAACTATCAATTTTGTTTCATTTTAGTACCTAAACTTTCCATTTTTCAAAATCACACCTAATATTTAGTTTTTGTTTCATTTTAGTATCTCACCATTAAAAACAATGCGTTTAGTACCTAAACTAACGTTAAATTTTGAACGAGTGTACTAAAGTGAAACAAAAACTAAACTTTCGGTATGATTTTGGAAAAATTGAAAATTTACTAAAACAGACCAAAACTGATAGTTTAGGTACTAAACACAGAATTTACCCTACATTATGTTAGTGGGGGGATGTCAAATCAAAGCACGTTAATTACATTGCTAATGCTGACCTTAATTGCAATAAAAACACGATTAAAATGACAAGTGTTCAAATGGAGAATTTGTCCAATTAAAAACATGATTAAAATTTGTTGATGACAACAAGGCAATTAGTTTTGCTATTAATTAGTGCCCCAAAAAAAGAAAGGAATGGGTTATTTTCATCTTTGATGTATGGCAATTACAAAACATTTAAATATGGCATACAGTTTCTGCCTGCATCACATCATCCTACTCAGCTTTGCTCGCAAATCATCTTCCAAATCAGATCAAATGCGTGTTCAATTTGATTTCAAGCTCTAGTTTAATTCAATATTTATTCAGTGACATTTACTAGAGTTTAAAATTTTAATTAATAATAATATTTAATCTTATTAAATGATAAAATTACAAATAACAAAAATCAGATAGATTAAATCATTTTTTTAAGCATTCATGTGCACAAACTGTTTTATTAAGTCAATTGATTATTAAAAATTATAAAATAGTCATTTGATTATAGAGTGTTGTTTTGTTGAATCCCTCGACTATTAAAAGTTACAAAATGGTCACCCGACTATTCATCATGTTCCAAACTTGCCATTTTTCGTTAAAAATAAATAAAATAATAATATATATATAAATCAGAATTACTTAATTAATAATAATTTCTTCGTTAATTCAAATTGAAATGTATACTTACTTGGCTGATAAGTTAAAAGGATTGATCTGATAATTAGGTTCTTTATTTCAAAAGAGGGTTGAAGGTGAGTTATGAATCTTCTACAGTAATTAACTCATTTTCTTGGATAAAGAACTCAATTGGTCTTCCGATTATATGATACTATTTTATTAAATCTTTCAATTATTAAAAACTACAGAATCGTCCTTCGACTATGGAGTGTTATTTTTTTGAGTCTTTTGACTATTAAAAATTAAAAAAAATGTCATTCAACTATTCATTATGTTCCAAACTCGTCATTTTCCATTAAAAATAGGCGATATTCTGAGCTAAAAGTTAACTTGTTGATTGTGATATTATAAAATTTGATCCCAAAATCTCAAACGACTATTATATCTCAGTTATTATGTTAACTTTCATCTTAAACAACCATTAATTTTTTAACAAAAAAGACGAATTCAGAACATAATGAATAATTTGAATAATTGTTTTACAACTTTTAATAGTTGAAATACTCAACAAAACACTTCATAATTAAAAGATAATTCTGTAATTTTTAATAATCAATAGACTTAATAAAATAATATCGGGATCATTTGCATTCTTTACTCTAATTAATTAAAGATAATGTCACCTATCAATCCATTGAATCCGGCTGACAACAAAGGAGACGGATGAATTTGAGGAATTATATATGTCCGGCTGACGACAACGGAACTGATGACTGGTTCATTACCTAATATCAAAATCAATAATTTATTCCGTAGATTAAATAAGATTAATCTTAAACTAATCGAACTATTAATTAATAAGGTAAGCAGAAAAAGGGACCAATCAAAATCCGACAACATATCTGTTTATCTATTTCTTCAGCAATTAAAAAAATACGCCATTACAGCAGACCAGTACGAGGTTTTTCTAAGCAGCAATTTGCTAAAAGATTTTGTCATAAATGTTACACGTCACAATATGATTACGATTTACGTGTGAACATAAGAACAAGTAATTTATTTTTAAAAATTCAAACATCACTTCAAAATAAAAATAAAAACCACTCTAAAGAAATTATCAACTTCATGTATAATAAGCAGGATGGGCATGGACCGAACCCGACAGGTTTCAATCTAACCTATAATAAGCAGGATGGGCATGGACCGAACCCGACAGGTTTCAATCTAACCTGATATGATCATATCAGATTTTTTAAAGAAAAATTTGGATTCGAGTGAATCGGGTCGTGTTCGGATTTATGATGAAAAATATCCGATTCAAAAAAATTGTAAGTTTATTTTATATATTTAGGAATAATTACAATAATACACATCTATATTATTTTCTTTCAATTAAATTCCTATTTTATTGAATAAAAATATTTTTTAATAAATATATTATTTCGGGTCGAATTTGAATTTTATCTCAAAAAATCGAATCGGATTTTGATCGAGTGAAAGGGGTATATTTTTTAGGCCGGATTCGGGTCGATTGGAAGATTTAATTTTTTTGAATCAGATTGGGTAGACCAAAAATTCGACCCGACCCAACTCATACCAATTCCTAATAATAAGCCAATTATATTTGATGCATGGGTTAGAAAGACCTATTGACCAATATAATGGATATCGAGTAAAATTGGCCCAATATGTCAAGTGTGTGGCCCAATATGTCAGATGGGTAAAAGAATTAATCTGTTAGGTTATCTCCAAATTAATATGGTATCTATGACAAATATTATCGTGCAGGAAAAACTCATCACGCCCACATGACGAGTTTATCTAAATAATATTTTTTTATTTAAACTCGTTATATCGACGTGACAAATTTCAAAAAATATAATTTTTTTATTAAAATTTTTCACATCAAGGTGATAAATTATAAAAATTATATACTTTATTAAAACTCGTCCGGTCAACATGATGAGTTTCAAATTCTAAGTCCCTATAACAAATGTCGTAAATTCCCAATTAATTTTGGAAATGACCTAATGAGCTAAAATTTTTACCCCACCTTAACTATTGGGCCAAATTTACCGTGGATATTGAGCAACAAGCCTTGCAAGTTTAGGCAAACTTGCACTAAAGATTTCAATTAAATTCCCTAGGCATCTTGGCTCACAAAACTTACTTATCATTCTTGGATCACAAAGCTTGAATTAGTGAGCATCATCAAGATGGATGGGCATAGATCACCATGTTGGACCTCTAATCTGAGGTTAGAGTAGTAGATACAATACCCGTGAATGTATCGTCTTTCAGCTGAAGTTGGAAGAAGCTGTTGAAATCAAGGGCATCGGCTGCGCAGGTTTCAGGATATCGGCAGGAGAAGATGTTCCTCAGAGGTATGTGACTAACAAAACTTGGAATGAACTCAGGCTAAGAGCAGTAAAGGTACATTGTAGGAAATTTATCTGTTATCCACCCTATAATCCTAAGCACTCAATGGTTGCACAGATAGTCATACTCAACAGGTTACAATCAAAGGATGGGCTCCTCTGTTGGGTAATGAATGTCGATGATAGACGAAAATATTGTCTCTCAGAGCAAGAAACTAAAGATACTCAACAGGTTACAATCAAAGGATGGTTATGCTTAATAGAATTCTAAATACTTGAAAACTGTAAGGCTAAAAGCTATGTAGACTCGACAAGCTAAGCCAGTTAGTCTCGATACGATTAAACAGCATGACATGAATTATTAACGCATTGAAATCCAAGTAAATATATAATACCTTAAATGCGATTACGAAACATGAAAATACACGAACATGTTGCAAACGCAAGCACTGCCAAGTCTAAGATTATGCAATGCAAGAAGGGTCTATAACTCAAGACATCTACTTACTGCTTAAGTTATGCAATAAGACTAAAACTTATAACAGAAAATATCTCAAACAACAGAAACATATTCGAAACGACAAATGAGCCATTGTCACAGCAAATACAGCTTTCACGAGGGAGTTCCTTAACGGGAAAGTAATCTAATTTTCGGTTTTCTCCTTCTTCCTGAAGAATTGCAAGCCGAATGCGAAGCCTAAGATCAAGAGGGGTACCAGGAACTGCAGTATCTTAGACAGATAGCCAGGCTCGTCGTTGGGTTGCTGAGCCACCGTTGTCGAAGCCTGCGGTTTGAACGTTTTTCGTAGCGGAACCGTGGTGCTATCGACCTCTCCGATGACATACTTTTTCATCAACTCTCTTGCATCATCACTGTGACCTACATCTTCGAAATCATCGGTAGCATCTTTGCCTGCGGAATCAATTGTTCATATCAGATTATCAGTACAATTAAGAAGATAATCGTCGGCGGAGAGCACCGAGAAACACTTACCGCTGGCAGCAAGTAAAACTTCATCTCCACCGGGATGCTCCTCCAAGAATTGGGTTACATCATACACCTTAGAAAACAAGCAAAGGAGGACAACAATTAAAATTAAATTGCTTCCATCAACACACACATGCAATCTATTTTCGATTTCATCAATGATTCAACTTTTATGCAAAACGACAAACAAATAAGCTAATTTTAACATAACAAAAAATCAAAACTCCATTTCTTCCCAGTTTGATAAAAAAATGGGAACCCCAAATCATAAAAGTAAAGAAAGATCAAACCTTTCCAGAGATCAAGAGCCAGCAATCAGCTCGGTCTTTGTGCTTGACCAAATCTTCATAAACAAAAACCTTTTCTCCAGAACCCATGTCCTGAACTACAAAATCGAAAAAAAAGGGGGAATTCAGAGAAAAGAACAGTGATGAATTGGAAAAATGAAAACTTCAGGGGAAAAGAGTAAATAGAGAAGGATGATCTAACGCGCTGATGGGGAAGTGAAGTCAAAGGAAAGGGAATCGGGTAAAAGTGAAGGACTGGTGTCTGAAAGTGAATGGGGAGGCTAAGGTAATCTTGCCTTAAAAACGTTGCCAATTGCTCACCAACCAGGCGCACTCTGGACGCGTGCTTCTCGCTTCATTAAAATAACATATTTAATAATTAAAATAATACACTAACCAATCTCGTTGATAAAAGATTTGTTATTATTCATTAAGGTCTATATTCAATCGCTAAAAATATCATGAATAGGCCTGTAAACAAACCGTTCCGAGGAAAACTTGTTTATTTTTTAAAAGAATGAACATGAAAAGACTTTTATTTGTTTAATTAAATGAATGAGCATGAACAAATGACTCGTTCGTTCATTATGTTTAGTGAACGTTCGATAATCTGTTCGTTTATGTTCATTAATGTTCGTGAACGTTTATATTCAATTCAATCTCAAGACCGTTTGAAATATTAAGACCTAATAAATTTTAACATTAAACACATTAATATTTTAAAATCTTATTAATTTTAAACCTAAACAAAAATAATAAAACTTAATCATATATTATTTGGAAAGATAAAAAACTCTTCTAAAATATAAATCTAATTAATTTTATGTTCGTTTACGTTCGTTCATTTATGTTCGTTAATCATTTTAATGGATAAACATGAACGAACATAAACAAGTTAAATTTTTTAATAAACGAAAAAAAATATTTATTTTATTAATTATTTGTTTATTTAATTAAAATTAAATAAATTAACATTAATATATTTGCTTCGTGAAATGAAATAGAGTCAGTGAAATCTGGACAGCAAATGAAACCGAGTGACCTTTAACCGATTTCTTCATTTGGGAGAAAAACAAATAGGAAAGTTGGGAGGGATGAAACGTGGGATCAACAAATGTATAAAGTTTTGACGTGTAAAGATGCATATTTGAGTTATAAAGTTATTATTATTATTATTATTATATTATTATTATTATTTAATTTATTGATGAATCAAATTAGATGAATATTTTATAAGTTTATTATAGAAATAGTTATCTTAATCCAATTATTTTATGCACATTATTAAATGTTAAACATTTAATTTTATTTAAAAACAATAATATTTTATCTGATTAAATCAATTTATTAGTAATTTATATAAAAAGTAAACTACATGTAATTTTGAAAAATTAAAAGTTCAAGTGCTAAAACGGCTAAAGACTAATAGTTTATGTATTCTTTTTATACATCTTGGATAAATATAAGATAATATATGTTCAAATAATTTTTAATCATTTAACAATGAATGTTCATACTTCTAGCATTTGCGGTGCTCGAACTCAAGACCTAAAGGGATAACAACGATTCTCTTAACCATTGAGATCGCATGGATCTTGCATAGATTACACGTTTAGTACATAAATTATCAATTTTGATCCGTTTTAGTACCTAAACTTTTATTATTATTTTTTTCAAAATCATACCTAATATTTAGGTACTAAATGTGTAATTCACTTGTTATATAAATTAGAAACTTTTTTAGATATATTTTATGTAAATATAAGATAATATATATTCAAATACTTTTAATCATTTGACAACGAACCATACTCGTGGCATTTACAATATTCAAATCTGAGACCTCAATAGATCATAACGGCTTAATTAACAACAAAAATCGCGTGATTTACTCTTAAATTAAAGGTAAGTCGCCGTTTTGGACTTTGTTACTACCGAGGGTGATTCTGCTGTGCGGCGCCTAAAAAAGGCTAAAAAACGGCGTGACCGGTTAAAGAAGTGACCGGTTAAAATTTAGATCGGTTATGTTATATCATTTAACCGAAAATATTATCAAGCACTATAACATATTAGGTATCGCTTATATAATGTAATAGGTAGCGCTTATATAATAAAATAGGCATTTAACTGGTATATTTATACCGGTAGCATTGCAAATTTACCTATTGCATTATAATTATTGGTTTCATTGTTTTTTGGATCGATACAATTTTAAATGTATCGACACTTTAAGCTTGCACCTCGTTGGGCATTCCTAATTTATTCTGGAAAAAAGTATCGATACAAACTATAAAGGTGTCGATACATTATTTAGACCTATTTTTTCATAAAACCGGTATATTTATACCGGGTACATTGTAAATTTTCCTATAACATTGTAATTTTCGTGTCGATGTTTTTGGGATCGATACAATTTTAAATGTATCGACACGTTATTCTTGCACCTCGTTGGGCATTCATTATGGACAAAATGTATCGACACAAATTACACAAGTGTCGATACTTTATTATAACCTATTTTCTCATACAACCGGTAAATTTAAACCGGTTACATTGTAAATTGACCTATTACATTATAATTATCGGTTTCGATATTTTTGTGATCGATACAATTTTAAATGTATCGACACTTTATGCATGAACATGTTTGTGCTTTCTTTTGGAAAAAAGTATCGACACAAACTTAAAAAGTGTCGATACTTTATGTTGACCTGTTTTATAATTAACTGATATATGTATACTGGTTACATTGTTAATTTAAATATTACATTATAATTATTTGTTTCGATGTTTTTGGGGTCGATACCTTTTGAAAATGTATCGACACATATTCTTACGTATGTATCGAAACAAATCTTTGTGTTTACTAATTTTGTCATTAAAAAAGTATATTTTTACCACCTGCATTGTAAATTTACCTATTACTTTAAAGTTATTGAATGTTGTAGTTATTGTACATACCTGAATATGTCCTGCAAATTTAATGTTGTACCCACCCTCCAACTACCACTACCAATACCACATCCTATTGAAAGCACCACTGAAAACATGTTGTTCAATGAACCTTTACTTACATCTCCATCAACTCTGTTGGGACCATTGAAATTGCACAACAAAATTTTTGCCATAGATCATACTGATGCAGACAATGTTAAGCCAACCGATGAATGCCATAAAGTATATAATGTTGATGAATATGACATATTGGTTGGTAAACTATTCTCTTCACATGATCAAGCTTGGTACTTTTACAAGGGATTCGCACAAGAATATGGGTTTAGTGCACGTCGGGGAACAATACGGCTTGACATGGAAGTGAATGTGAAGATACAAGAATTTTGTTATTTGAAATAAGGGTTTCGAGAATCAAAAGTCAATACCGTTGATCGTCAACGTGCTCATACACCAATCACAAGAACATGATGCAAGGCTAGAGTCATAGTTACAACAACAAATACAAACGATTGCACTGAAACACAAGAAGACTTATTTAGATGTTGTTCGTGCAATTGAAGATGGAATTAGAATAATGCGTATGAACGAGTTGAAAGCGGATTATTTAAATTCTCAGACGAAGCCCTTCCAGATCACAAAACCGGTTGAATTTGAAAGTCATGCTTCTGAGATTTTTACGCGCAAATCTTTTCATGCGTTCCAAGAAGAACTTCAACGGGAGATATTGTACCAGATTCAGGAAGAGATTCAGTCCTTATCAGATGAATGTCAATATTTTTATTTGAAAAAGTACAAAGAAAAAAAATAGGACATTTGAAATTAGTTTTGATTATCATACGGAAACTCTAAATTGCTCATGCAGAAAATTCGAGACCGTTGGACTTCCATGTCGCCATCAACTTCACGTTTTGAAGTACTTGGATTACACATATTTGCTCGGGTCTTTGATTCAAAGTAGGTGGACTAAGGATGCGAAGGCTTCTGCACCCAGTTTTGTTGATTTGAATGTGCCTCAAGAAATAATGCAAATGGCAAGGTTTGCTTCTCTACGTGCAACAACAAGTATGTTATGCTACACTGCATCAAAGACAGACGCGTCTTTCAAAACCGCAAGAGATGAGATGAAAAGTCTAACAGAAGAATTTGAGAACTTGTTTGGTTTGAATGATTCAGTCAATCGAAGCAGTGTATTAAACAACGTTCGCGACCCTCAACGGAAACAACGCAAGCGAAAAGAAGTAACAAATAACAAGGTCGAGAAGAAGATTAGGCGATATGGGTTCTGCAACGGTGAGGGACATAACAAACTAACATGTCCTCAAGTCAAGCTGGGTTTGAATACAAGCACGCAGTCTACTTCAACTGATTTTTTTAAAGACGGAATGGAATGGTTATGAACCTCCAGCACATGATGTTAGAGACATTTGGTTATAATTATGTTTTTCGATGTTTTTGGGATCGACAATTGTTATAAATATATCGAAACTTTGTTGTGCACTTGGTTTTTAAAATATAGTCTGGACAAAATTGTATCGAAACTTGATGTATTTGTGTCGATACTTCATGTATACATGTTTTCTCATAAAATTGTACATTTAGACCGGTTACATTGTTAATTTACCTATTACATTATAATTATAGTTTTCGATGTTTTTGGGATCGACACTTGTTATAAATGTATCGACACTTTTTAGTGCACTTGGTTTTGAAATACATTCTGGAGAAAAAGTATCGACACTTGTTATATTTGTGTCGATATAAAAAGTGTCGATACTTTTTGTACACCGATTTTCTCAAAAACCGGTATATTTAGACCGTTTACATGAATAATTTACCTATTACATTATAATTATGTTTTTCGATGTTTTCGGGATCGACACTTGTTTTAAATGTATTGACACTTTTATGTACACTTGGTTCTGAAAATACATTCTGGACCAAAAGTATCGACACTTGTTCTATTAGTGTCGATACTGTTTGTACACCTGTTTTCTCAAAAACCGGTATATTTAGACCAGTTTTATCATATTTTCCGGTAACTTTCAATATAACCGGTATATTTCTTCTCTTTTAAATTTAGAAAATGTTGATATTAATATTAAATTATCGACACTTTCAATATATCCGGTAACTTTTTCCGGTTTTGTCATTTTTGAGACCAGTTTTATCATATTTTTACCTGTTATATTGTTGTAGATCGATATATTTTTTAAAGTATCGACACTTTATAGGTGCTATAACTTCTTCTCTTTTAAATTCAGAAAGTTTCGATACTTATATTAAATTATCGACACACGACACATATCCGGTAGCGTTTTACAGGTTTTGTCATTTTGGGACCGGTTTTGTCATATTTGTACCTGTATTATTGCTATGGAGCGATCTATTTTTCATTTGTATCGACACAAACCGACAAGCTAAGTTTACCGGTTGTCAAATTTTTTAATATTTCTTCATGATTTAGACCTACTATATTATTATTACTCAACATTTCCGGTAACTCAAAACCGAATATTGTAAATATATTATAATGTATCCGGTAACGCAGTATATTAGTCCACATTTCCGGAGAGAATCCCCTACTACCGATAATAATTATCAAGTTTGGGAAGCGGAAAAAATAAATTCCGCTGACAAAATCTCTTTTTTCAGGTTTGGTAATATTTATTGGGACTAAAATACTACTATATAGGGTATTAGCAAAATAAAATTGATAAAAACATCAAAGACCCCTATACTTCTAAAAGAATTATTATAGTCTTCTTATTTTTTTTAATGCGACCCTTCAATTTATAAAATAAATCTAATATAGTACTTTAATCAATTTTTCATCGTTGACCTTACAGTGTTGATATAACAATACACGATATTGACGTGACGATCCATGTTACTGACGGGACAATCAATCTGTCATGTCATTCACCACATTAGTCTGCCACCGTTGATTACCTCGTTAGAACTACTGATCACCGAGTCAATACCGTAAACTGTTAAATCAATACCGTAACAGTCAACGACAAAAAACATTAATAAAAAAACCACGTTAAATTTATTTTTTGAGTTGAAGAATTAATTTTTTAATTACTCGACCTCTTATACCTTTTTAAATTTTATCATATCTAAACTTTTAATTTATATTTTATCTTGATGTCAACATATTTGTTCAAATGTATTATAATAATTACACTAAAATATATTATTTATATTTATAATTGTTATTGTAATTATAACTTCATTTGTAAATTTAAAAATAAAATTACCAAATCAAATGGGTTGGAACCTTATTCATGTCCAAACTATAAGCCCAACTAAGGCCCAATCCAGTTCTATAATGGTAACACATTTCGCAATCGAAGCTTTCACCAGACAGTAACTTTATCTTATCATTGGAAAAGTAACTAAAGGGGTAAAATTAGCCTTTATCAGTTATCACCATCCACTATGTTCTTGTTGTCTTAGATATATTTCTTCTATGAATATGTCGGACATTACCGTTCTGGGTGTCAAATGGAATTCATTGAGAGGTTAAGGGCAGGGTTATTATGTATCAGGAACCTCCAGGGGCCAGTATCAGGCCATCTACATCGACGGGGAGAAGTAACCGTCGCCATAAGCATCCCGTGGAGACAAGCTCGGGCAGTTGAACGATCATTAGAACGTCGTCGATTTTTCGCAACATTCCAGTTACAGTCACCGTGTTGCCCTCCTGTACATACCTGCAAAAGCTCATTCAAATCGTTTTAAGCAATCATAGGCAGAATTAGTGAGGGATTCGAGATTGATGTCGTATAAGTGGGTTACCCTTCTTCGAGACGTAGCAGCCGGGAATCTCCGGAGAGGTTTCGTTCTCGTAACCAATTGCCGAGGTGAGGAGATAGGGCTCTGCATTGATTCGTGGTGGTGACGAGTTTGCTCTCGATGATCAAGGGGATAACTTTACACCCCGAACCGGCTTTTACCAAGGCTCGTATACCGGATTTGCGATCGGTAACATAGAAATCTGTAGAAAACCTCTGTAATGAAAAATAAAGTCAAGTGAAATAAAGAACTCTAACATAATTATTTCTATTTCCTCAATCCAGCATATTGTACAGATTCAGAAAAAGAACGAAAAAGGCAGAGAATAAGCAAGTTGAAGGTGAAGAAGCACCGTGCTTTATACCGATTACCATATCAACAACAGCAGAACAGAACTCTGATACAATATGTTATTGATTTGGACAGCATATTCAAGAATCAACACATACAATATGACCAATATAGCACATGAGACCAAACCTATCACCTCTAATCAGGAAGGCTAATGCATATTATGACAAATTAACTTAGCATATGATGAATGATATTCAAGTTTCAAGGTGATAAAATGCAAAGATCAATCTTCAAATTAAGCAGCATTTCAAGATTTAGACAGTAAACAGAAGAAATCAGCACAGAATCAGGAGAATTGGACCAATGCGGCAAAATGGCACCAATTCAATGCAACAAGAACACATATATGCTTAGACTCATAGCTTGCAGAAGGGCAATACTTCAGTGACATGACTTACATACCTCACAATACGTTAGGTTCCATTGAAACCAGGATCTTTTAACATTAACCGGTTTCAGGCCAAATTGTCCATATTCATAGAGAAGGGTAGATGAATATATGCATCTGGAAACCCTTTCATATGAGGTTTCCAGAGATAAACTCCCACACGATGCTACCTAAGAAATGAACAAAAAAATAGGGCAACTGTAAATAATAATTGACCAACAAATTGCACTCAAGTCCTTAATGCTCAGCAAATTTATGAGAAACAGGATGGAACCCCACGAAAAACTACAAGGAACCCACACATTACATACTAAAGGCGATAAAAAACTGAAACTTTAGGAATGAAAGTACCCCAGTGATCTTCACGAGCTGTCCTTCACGTGCAAGTCGAAGATCAGAGTCAGGCAAAGAGTTGATGAAGAAAGCAAAAGCAGATCTGTTGTGATGTCTCCAGTTAACAGCATTCCAAGCTAAGAAAGAAGCGACCAGAGCGAATAGCAAAAGGAAAGAGAGAAGGAAAGCCGCGTTGTGGACCACAACGAGGATGAAAATGGAGACAGAGAGACCAATGAGTGAAAGAGTTAGGAGGGTTAAAAGAGCTAAGCTTGGTAAGGGTTTGCAGCTGAAACTGGTTTGGTGTTCGCTTACAGCTGCATTGGAGAGGTCGTTCATCACTCTTTTTACTCAAAAGAGACAGAAATGGGGAGGAAGACAACTGGTGTTAGTGAGTGAATTGAAAAAAGTTGGAAACTTTAAAATGGATACAATAGGATAAAGTGATTTTTAGGACAGAAAAAGGGTGTAGAGGTTTGTTCATGGAGTCAAAGTTGGGCCACTATCATAAAAACTATTTTGAAGATGATGGTCCAGCCCAATGGAAACTGGAGAGTTCACCAACTTGTTGATGTTGAATACTGTAAATTACGTTTGGTTCACTGAATATAAGATTATCAGTAGGAATAAAAGATTATTGGGAAATAGGATTACTAGAAATGTTGTACTTTTTGGTTGGTTTTTTTAGCAGGAATGTAAGATTGCACTTTTTGGTTAAAGGAATAAAAGATTATTTGAATGTATATTTTACCAAATTATTCTTATTATATTTTTGTTTTTTTAATAAGCTGAATTCTACAATAAAAAATGGATGTCCCTTTTTCCCATATATATGGGGTAAGGGGAGGTAAGATAGTAGGCTACCCCCAACACCAGGTTGAAAGTAGCTTCCGTAAGAGACCTCCGAATTATGAAATGCCCTCCGTGAGACTCGATCCCACGACCTCAAGGTTAAGAACCTTGTGCTCTACCAACTGAGCTGGTAACGACCTCAAGGTTAAGTTGAATTCTACAATAATATTACTATAATTAATTTTTATATATTTTTTAAAAATTTAAAATTCATAAAATTGATATACTTTTTTTTACAAAATTGAAAAGATAAATATGTTTAATGAAAGGGTAAAATTTTATTTTAACCCCTAAACTTCATATAAAATTTTAATTATAGATTTTTTTTTGTAAATCTAAAATAGTTTAAGGATAAATTTGTAATTTAACCTTCGTAGAATTTTTATTATTCAACGACAGAAGAAATATATTTTTAAAAAGAAAAAAAAATTAAGAGCATTTTAGTTCAAAATGCCGGTAATCCAACAATACCTAATGGAAAGGAGGTAATCACATTCCCGATAATATATACCTAAAAAAATCCACTGTTGGAAAAAAAAATTATCGAGGAATAGGATTACTGACCAACCAAACGGGGGAATGACATTCCATTCCCCTAATAATCCCATATGCCGTGAACCAAACACGCCCTAAGTCCCCGTCATACAAAACACAACAAAATTGAATCTCTGGCCTCCTCAAAATTGTCCCTTCAACTCACATCATCTGGGAGGAGGTGAAAATTGCTGTCATCCATGATTCTTTGAAGCTGTTTGCTTTAGCTATTGGAATGACAAAGCTTGATGCCAATTCAACATTTGCTGCAAGCTTTGAAGTTCCCATTGTTTTAAACAAGCTGCCACCCAGTAATCGTCTTGGAATTTCAGTTCTTTGACAACTTTTCTTTTATATAAAGGATAATTGCAACCAAATTGGCATGGTACAAGCCGAGCAGGTTGAACTTGAATTCCCCAGATTTTGGCTTATGCAGAGTTCTTAATCTGCCAAGTATAGCTAACAAAGCCATGAAAGAGCGTTTAGGTACATTAAAAGAATATCACAACACCATTAAGTTTTGGCCTCAGTTGGATCCTTTGTCTTGAATGCTGAAACCTGAATGTTCTTAAGGATATTGATTGTTTTCCCATTTTGTCACATGTTGTTTCCTTGAGGTACTATGAGGCCTACATTTGTCTGGACAATTCCTGGAGAATCCTGCAACAGTACATAATACTCCTGACAAAGACATTGTGTGGGGAAAAAATCTGGATTTTCATGTAAAGATTTTTTCTTGTTCTTTTATTTTTATCAATTCTATTTGCTCCCTATGTGTCTCTTAATTTCATATTAATTTTTGCAAATCAAGATGCCGTTTTTTGAAGCAGCATATAGAAGAATTGGATGAAAATCTCGTACCCTAAAATCCGAATTTTCTTCGTCTAATTAGCTGATACATACTCAATATTTCCCCTCTCCCATGTCCTCTACTAGATAATTTGACCCCAGCACCTCAGAATATTGTTTACATACATATTTTTTGTTCCTCATTAGTACATTTGTTCAAGACCAAAAATCCCACCACTGGTACCCACAACCGGACTGTTCAAAGAGAGCATTGGATTCAAAACTGTGCCAATCTTCCGGAGATGTTAAAGCACCATCAGCCGGTTCCACCATGCTCATAACTTCAGGCTCTTCTTCTAGCCTAAAGTAGCCCGTCATTATGGCACTATCGTCATCCGACAACGCTCCGAGTGCGTGTTCCGATCTCTCCATCGAAAAACTCAGCTGCTCTTCACACTCGGACTTCACTGTCTGTCCCTCGTTACGATTCACTTGTCCACAACATTGCTCTTCCTCCTTCAGCTTCTGCAACTGTTAAACAAAAAAAAAAGTAACTGCATCATTATAAAAAATAGATACCATTGTTGTAGCCAAAGTATAAGATAAGTTACCTGAGAAAGTAAAGCCTGTTTTTCTATCTTTAGGCCCTCGAACAATGAGGCTAAGTTGTTGTAATTGTGTTGCAGGTTGTTGTAGTCGCGTTCGAGCTGCTTGGATTTGCGCCTGGCTCTCTTGTTCTGGTACCAAATCGCAACCTGCCGTGGCTGCAACCCCAAGTGTTTGGCCACCTGAATCTTCTTAAGGGGATCGAGCCTGGATTCCGATTCGAATATCGATTCCAACGATCGGATTTGGTCGTCGCTGAACCTTCTCTTGTTCTTGCTCTGCTTCCTTTTGGTCGTTTTTGTAACTTCATCCATGGTGCAAAAAGGGTGATATTCCATGATCTCCTGGGAATTACAATCTGATGGAAATCTAAATCTTTCGTTGTTCATGTGTAATTATTACAAGTACTAATAAGAATCAACAGAGGTGGAAAAGGGAATGTTTCTAGATAGCATTTAAATCCCCCATTTGCAACCAAAGTATTTGTCTTGGTGCTGCTAGCTACCCTCGTATATATATATTCATAGTATTTCATTACATGGTATAAAATCTGTTTATTTTTACCAAAAATATATAATTATTGAATGTATTTATATAAAGAGTTAATCACATCTTATGTCTTCAAACTATGATCTTTCATTTCACGTAAATAAAATCGTTAAGCCAAGCAATATTATTATATGCTTGAAAAAAATAATGTTTATGTTAAATTATAGTTAAAACTAATTATATATTTGGATGAATTTGGAGATAAAATGAAAAGATTTTAAAGTTTGAGGATCAATTCAAAATGAGAGTCATAGTTTGAGGATAAAATTAGAATGCTCAAAAGTTTAAGAATTAATTTAGAATGAGTATCATAATTTCATGGTAAAACTTAACACATTTATTAGCTAAATTATAACTTTTGGTCTGTTATAGTACATAGACTTTCAAATATTTTCAGAATTTAACTTTAAATTTTAAATATGATAATAAAATAAAACTAAACTAAAATTTAGATTATGTTTTAAAAAATTAAAATTTAAATATTAAAATGAATTAAAATTAATAATTTAATCGGATGCGTGTCGACAGAGCTTTTTGAAATTACAGGTGGTTTTTTCCTACGTCTCTCTGTCTGCTTGCCACGTAGATATAAACATGTTTTTTTTCTAATAGTTTTAGGAATAGATCGAGTGAGATTGATATTCGTTAAAAATAAATATAATTTTACATTTTTAATTTTTAATACTCATCTCTTATTATAAGATTTATTTTTGTAACGACAATGATTAATAATATGTGTATGTCAGGGTGGACAAATATTTTTATGTTAATTCTTTATCTTAATTATAATATTTATCTTAAATTTTTATTTATGTCCGTTTTATATGAAAAATTTTAATTATTAATATGTACGTGTCCATCTCAAAAAGAATTTTTCTATCTGTCACGGAATTTAATGATGAGTTTTCATAGTTAATTTCCTTGAAACTTATGTTTTGGCTTGCAAACAATGTCTTCCTCTCGAGTGGTTGAACGTGCCAACAATTGGATGGTTTGGATTGGATGCCCGAGCCCTAGCTTCCTCGTTTATCATATGCTTTACGTAGGCCTTTTCCCTTATGGAAATCCAACCATTCTTTAGAAAAAGCATAACCCAAAATTTTGGTAAGTGATTAAAATGAAAATTTTGAAAGTGTGGTGTCAAAGTATACTTTTGTAAAAATCTAGGGACTTAAGTGTAATTTTTAAAAGTTATATATTTTTGCTCGTAAATAGATAGTTTACCCCGAGAATGATATTTTAGTGGATTTTAGATTTTTGATCCGAAATTTGTAAAAAAAGATTATGAAGAGATAAAGTTCGGTAAAATATTCGAATAATTGAATCGAAAGTTTACAATAATTCAAAGGATGATAGTAAGAGGTTAGAATTATAATTCTGATATTTTTAATCAGTAGAATTTAATATGGAAGAGTGGAATTAAGTGAATTTTCCATGTTAAAGTGGAATAGTGAATTAAGTGACTAAATTGAATTTTTGGAAATTGAAAGGGGAAAGATAGCAATTAGTAAATGGAGATAATATGATGGCATGGAGGTAAAAATTAGGATTCATTAATGACAAATTGGAATTTTACACCAAATTGAATTTTAAATTCATTTTTAATGGCTTTTTAAGGAGGAAATTAGGAGATATTTTGGGAGAAAATTCAAGAAAAAGCTCTCATCTTTTTCTCTTCAACACGTGGCCTCCATGGATGGGTAAGCAAGCTTTTCTTTTCCATTTTCAAGCTATTTTAGTAGGCTTTTGGACTAAGTTTTGAAATAAGAAAACAACTTACACTAAATTCTCTTTCATTTGTATAAAATTTTCATGGTTTTAAGTGTTGAATGGGTGTTTATGGTGGATGAGGGAAAAGTTCAAATTTTTTGAAGTAAAGTTGAATTTAGATCTTAAGAGTGTTATGGAAACATAAACAAGCATAAAAGTTGATTGAAAATCTTTAAGGGACTAAGTTGAAAGCATTCGTCCATGGTGGGTTTGAATGAAGAGATGTTGATTTTGATTTGTTTTTGTTATGAGAATGATTAAAATGGTTGGAAAGGAGTTGTAGGTGATGAAATCAAGTTTGAAACAAAGTTGAAGATCATTAGGGAGAATACCTTATAACTTTCGGCCCCAGTGAAGAAAATTAAGAAAAATTATAGGAAAATCATACAAGGGTTAGAAATGATTCTACATGCTTTGAAATAAGTTTTGGACCAAATTGGAATTTGGATAAGTTGAGCGGACTTTTTGCATAGGTCAAGGAGTTAAGGGATTAAAATGTACGAAAGTTGGTGTACTAGGTAGAAAATTATTATTTGAAAATTCATTTGAATCATTTTGGGAAGTTGGAAAAGTTTGAGGACCCAATTTCAAACATGGGAATGTTGGTGAGAAAAATGGAAGTGATGTAATTATTGAGGTCTTGGGCTGGAATGAAATGCTGGGATTTTTAATTATGTAAATTGAAGCTTGAATTTAAATTAAAGGGCAAGGGATTATTTTGAGTAAAATGAAAAAATTGAGATGAATTCAAAAAGAATTCATAATTAGTGGTTAAAATGGAAATTTAAAAATATTGTGTGCCTTAGTTATGAATATGGATAAGAAGAGACTTGAGTGATCACTTTAAAGCTTTGAGATCAACATTTATGTTGTGACAATAAATTAATACCGGAAGATATTGGGAATTTATTTATATTATATGCTTATGTTAGTAAGATTCTAACATGAGATTTGGAATGTTTATGTTTTGTAAATGTTGTTCATTTAGATTATGATTGAAATCAAGATCAAACAATATTAAAGTTAAGCAGAAGCTTAAGAATAAATGTGAATTCTAAGGTTTGCAAGCTAAGGACAACAAGTGAGTGCATTTAATTTGTGTTTATATTAGCGAGTAAACATTGACTTGCGATAAACCGGTAACGGAGTTACGTTGGTAAGAAGTGACTCCTAAATGTTATATGATTTGTGTTTTATGTATATATGTTCATTTGGTAAGCAAATAAATTAGTGAATAAGTCAAAGATGCAAACTAGTTAGATCTACTTATACTTGTGACTTGAACAGTAAGTTTAGAAAATCATCATAAATTCTATAGAAATATTTAGAAGATGAATTTTATGTTTATGGATTCGTATATCAGTCTATTTTAATTCAGAACAAACAACTAATGATTTCGATAAGTATACAATAAGTTATGAATTTTTAACCGAAGATAGATAAGAAAATATGGCAGCAGATTCTGCTCAAACAACTTTTGTAAGTCAACTTTGAAATTTTACTATAAATTGTATAAGATGAACTAGAAGTAGTGTCTTATATGATTAGATTCATATTCGAATCTAATTTTCAGTGATGCATACGGAATAATTTTTAAGTGTGTAGATTAATACATAATAATCTTTCTTTGAAGGTAGTGCAAACTGCTAGAGTATAAAATTTCGATAAATTCCATAATCGAAGCAAAATGAAAATAGAGGATTAAATTTAAAGCCTAGTGAGACTTATATTTAGGACCTATAAATAAAGTGTCAAAGTAAGTGCATTATTTATTTAAGTTATATCTAATTGATGAAGACTTGTGATAAATAATCTTAGATGATTTAAAAGAAAAATTCAATTTAAATTATGTGATATTTTCATACCGATTAATGAAATGATTTATGATATATTTTGGATATGAAATATACAATATATTTTTATATGATATTTTATGAAAATATATTTGAATGAAATTTATAAAATGATTTTTAAGCAAGAACTGCTCAAAGTATGTTATTTGATATTTGTATTTTAAATTATGGATGGTTTCGGGTATGAACTACCTAATGCACTGGTTTTGATAAATGATATTGGAAAATGATACTGATTGGAAATGTTGAATTATAAAGGATATGTATTTAAAGTAAAGCTCATTGTATGTTGCATTGAGAGTCGTAGGTATAATTGACTTGCTATGAGGTGGAGTGATTCTGATTTTGATTTTAATATGGTACACTTGGTACATTATGTATCGCACCGTTGGTCCAAATGATAGGATTGCACTTGGTGTGCATAGTCTGCATAGTCTGAGTTTGATGAAAACACTAAAGTGCTTATTGCATACACTCGTCTGACTCACGTACCATGCATTCTCATAAATATACATTGGGCTATGAATCTGAAATAGGAAAGTTCTAACTCTGAAAATGAAAGTTCTGAAATGTATTTGAATGAAAAGAATATGACATGATGGTTATGTCTAATATTGATTATTATGGTTTCGAAAAAATCATGAAATGATAATTTTTAGGCTTCAGTTGAGGAAAAATAGTTCGAATAAATCGGTTTAAATATTTAATGATGTTATTTGAATTTGAATTTAAGTTTAATGTTTATATTGTTATGATATTTTTAAGTTACATATAAAGAAATATATTGTTTGATTCTATTAAGTTTTGTTATATTTTATATTATCTTAGTTATTTATAATGTCTCACTGATGATTTTCACGTATAGAAGAACAAGCGAATTAAGGAGTTGAGTGTGACATCAATCAACAAAGAATACTTACATGTATCAATAATGACATTAAACTATTTTAAATTTCTAGATAACATGTATGCTAATGAGAAATGTCTGATATATTATTATGAATATAAATATGAATCTAAGTTTTGTATTTTAAATAAAAGTTATATTTTATTCAAATAAAGAAACAATTTAAATTAGGCAGTATACTTTATGTTAGGAAACAATATAGAACTGTCTGGTTACTGGCCAAAACGGATATTAATTTAGATATTTAAATATTATAATATGGATTTTTATGTGGTTATATTATTTCATTGGAAAGATTAGATTGAATAAATTTTAAAGATTCAAATTTATA